GGAAGTTAGTTTTGTTGTCAAAAATTCTGAATCAATAACATGATACCTGTTTGGTAAGGACTGTTTTATTTTTATTTTGAATAATTATATATATGAATACAATTATAAGTTTATATGTAATAGTTCATTTTTCTTTATGATTTGAGATAGTTTGTTAAAATAAAAATATATATATATCAAAACATTAAAAAGAGTTGGGAAAAAAAATTATGAATAAATTTACATGTATAAATAAGATTATGTGGGATGTTTATGAGGCATAGACATGATTACTGGCAACCAAACTACAAATCTAACTTTGTAATAATCTTTCAATGAGGAGATCTTTGCACTCCATTATCTTTTTGTTTAGGCTTGCACTCCATTTAACTTTGTATTGTTATATATATATATATATATATATATATATATATTCATTATGAATGAGAGAGAGATCCTTGTAGTTGAAACTAACAACAAGCAAAGCCAAAACGTTGATCTACTTGAATTGGTCAGAGTTGAGGTTTGGTGGACATTGAAGCTTGTGAATGAATTTACTTCAGTGAGATTAGTTTGAAATTTTCTACTGGAGATCCTTCAAAGTGCTAATATTTTTATTGTTAACTCATGCGACCATTTTTCTTTTTCATAAGTATTTATTTTGATAACCAAACAACCTGCTAGAAAAATTATTGCCATCCAAACAAGTACTTGAAAATATTTTGTAGGATTTTAATTAATCATAAATAACACACCAAACCATAAGTTTTTTTTTTGTATATCAGAAACTTAATAAATTATTGTTGCACCATTCACATATATATTTGCACATATAGGGAGCTAGAAGAAATTCCTTAAAAATAGTATGTGTGTACACACACACTTTATTATACTTACATAAAATATAGGGTAAAGTGCAAAAAAAAACCCCTTAAACTATTGGCCATGTGCAATTAACCCCCCTGAACTACAATTTGCCCTCTTGAACTATTAAATTTGGTGCAATTAACCCCCCACGTGACATCTCCGGCCAATTAGTTATAACGAAAATAGTAAAAGATAATTTTACCCCTATATAAAACCACGTCGTTTCAGAAAATTTTAACAACCACCAATTTTTTGATATTATTTTATCCATAAAAAGTAGAACTAAAAAAAAAAATTCTGAACAAAAAAATTGAATCAAAATATCAAGGGCTGGGCAAACCCAAATCACAATCACTTTCATAGACGGGATTTCTATCAATCTTTTACACCTCCAGTGATGGTGACGGAGGAACTGCATAGTGGCGGAGGTGGAATGGACCGGCAGTGAAGTGGTGGCAGCAGCGGTGGGGAAGAAATGCAGCGGTGAGCTCGGCGGGCTGGTTCAGCGGTGGCTCGGCCATGGATGACTCGGCGGCGCTCAAATGAAGCGACGACTACGGGGACAAGCTCGGATGGTGGAGAGGACCGGCGAGTAAGGTGGGCTGAACGGCGATGGGTTGGTTGCTGCTGAACAACGATGGGCTGGTTGCGACTTTGGCTGTGAGCTTGCGGATGAAGAAACGGCAGTGGGGACGAGCTTGGATGGTGGGTTTTATTTTTTTCTTGCGACCCAATTTGGTCCAGTGGCGTCTTCATCATCGACGAGTTGTCTGTCAGATCGTGAAATTTCTGATCTGTTTCTTCATGTCGCGATCTCATTCTTTGCTATCGCCGGAGTTTCCTTGCTGTCGTCGTCCTGTGTTATGTCCCTAGCTTCATCACCGGTCGTCTTCTTGCTTCATACATCGACGCAGGTGTTTCAGTGACAATATATATATATACATCCCGAAATCAATCGAGGAAGATGGGGATGGGGAAATTTAGGGAAGATAAACATAGAAGGGCATTATGGTCCTTAACTTTTCATAAGGGTTGTATAGTCATTTAATTATATTTGGGCTGTAAGGTGACTTGCACGCACTCAAAATTCACCGGCAGATCGCCGGACGGGGTAAATTGCTACCAAATCCCTAGTTCAGGGAGGTTAATTGTCAAATTATTATATCAATGGGGTTTTCTACTACATGATCAATACTTCAAGGGGGGTTTTTTGCACTTTACCCTAAAATATATACACAACTGGAGATCACTAAAATTCATTCCATAAAATGTATACACACTTCTTTATACTTGCATAGGCCTCCATTTGATTAACTTATAGATCACTAGCTTCCTGGAGTTGCAGCAACTGGAGAATGCTTCCTATAAATCCCACTGGTGTCACTGCCCATAACTTACTGCCATGTCCTTCAATGTAGTGCCAGTTCTTCCAACAGCATATATGGATTACATGGTATTGGGTTGACAATAGTTTATGATTCAGCAGAAAAAGCTATAAGGAAGCATTAAGAAAAAAGAAAAAAATGAATTTGATTGTAAAGCAAGACATTACCTATAGTAGCAAAATATAAAGCAGAGTTACGTTTTCCCATGGAACGGATGCATTCTACTAAGCCTTGAAACAACAAAAATCTATTTCAAGTTTCAAAAATCAACCATATGCCTTTTTGGAATCAAAGTTTGTTTGTTTGTTTTTTTTTTTTTTTTTTTTTTTTTTTTTCAAAAATCCGGCATGATTTCCCCTTAAAAATGGACATTTACAAAATTGCACCTAACACAATGAACACAAAGGACACCGCCCATAAAATTAATTCAACAAGAGACATCGCCTCCACAAATCCAAGTAAAACTGCCCGTTCTCCATCTAAACTACTCCAACAAGCAGAAGATATATCTAATCTTTTTTCAGGCTAAGTTGCAAAATTGGAGTGTAAATGACTTCATGCAAAACCAAACACGTGAACAACATTAGAGAAAAACAAAATAAAACAGGTAGGAATGAAGTAATTAGAAGTACTAAGCAAGATATATCTAACATTTTTTTAAGCTAAGTTGTAAATTTGGAGTGTAAATAACCTCATGCAAAACCAAAGTGTTTTTTTTTTTTTTTTTCGTCACCGTTAGGCTATTGACATGTTGGTAAGATTCATTTAAGTTGATTAATTATGAAAAATTTAAGCTCTATTTTACTTGTTCATTAAATTTGAGTTGGATCAAACCAATAGCCCTTGCGAACGATCCCGTAATTCACAATATTGCAAAGTAGTGGTTATAAATATAAAATTGAACTATACACATGACTAAATCCACACTAATCAATATGCAGTAATTATGAACCGTTCGCAAAAAAATATCTAGCACATTAATTTGAAAAACATAAAATATGTACTCACTAAGTTCATAGAATCTCATTAATAAATAAAATAAAATCATATATGAGTGCAAGAAGAAGTAAAATCAAATATCATGTATAATTTTTTCCTTTGAATAAAATAGAATTACAAACTTTGGATGTAAAATATCATGTATAATTTTGTAGTTGCTTAAAATTTCAAAATGAGAACTTTGTCAAAATTAATGAAGAGATAGCATATGCTCCATAATGTTTAGAACTGTACTTCATAGTAGAAATATGATCATTCAACAGCTTCATTTTCCCATTATTGAGGTCACTGGCACAATGAGAGAGAGAAGGGGTGAGAGGTGTTAGTGGGGTGGAAAGGCCAGAGCTATCTGTGTGAACGACCACACAGATATAGATGAGCTGTGATGTGTGTTGTTGTGTAAAATTGAATGTATTATATGGCCATTATACATACAGATCTCAGGTGGACTCAATTAGACAGATCTCAGAGGCCGATAAAGCACCTTCATACAAATTCTACATACGGAAATACATACCTTGTAAATTCAGAAGCTTTAAGCCTTTCAATCGACGCACACCTGAACCTGAGAAATCAGACACAAAAATAATACAAAACCGTCAGATCCTCCATCTAACAACTACAAACTCGGATTTCGGTGGAAGAAATAGAATCGACTCACACACCTGAGATAATAGACATGATTTCGAGAAACACAGGGAAACCTTCGAAAATTTGCACTCCAAAGCACGAACTAGGGTTTCGGTAAAATCGCCTCACACACAAATTGGTCACAAAACAGAGAGGGACGAAAGCAAATACAACGGAGATTGCAAAGAAAAACCTTGTACGATCATGGATTTGTCAATCTTGAAGAAAATCGACAACACCCAACCTTCGTTTCAAAGGAATCGCCCTCAGTCGCCTTCGGAGTGCAAAGACGAAGAGAGAGAAATATTCTGCAGAAATGAGCTAGGGTTTCTAAAATTAGATTTTATACATGATATGCCGCTACAGTATAACTTGATATTGGTTTGGACTAGCTGTTTTTGGTTTGGGCTTTTGGTATAGCCGCTACAGTGTTGAAAACACCCAATATCACCATTTTGGTGATATAGGTTTTGCCCCAAATCTCAAAATGATATGGACCTGTTCAGAAACATATTAGCCCACACCAAACAAGATATGGGCCAAAACCAAAACCAAAACACCAAAACCAAAAACATTTTGGCTTCGAAACGGGCCCTAAGTTTTTCATCTTGCTATTGTTGGTATGAAATATTTCCAAAAACGTCATAGGAAAATTTTGTGTATGTTATATTTTGGATAGCACGAAATTTAAAAGAAAATAATGTTAATTCTCTAAATAGTTTTTTTTATATATATAAATTAAATACTAAAATATAAAATGAATAATGTACTTCTTCTCCATTTTTCTTTAGTTTTTAATCCCGACAAATAGCACACACCCTTTTTTTTTTTTTTTTTTTTCTATTCTAACTTCTTGTTAAAACAATACATTTTCACTTTAATTATCTCCTTTTTACCTTTGGAAGAAATGAAGCCTTCAGGTTTGACAATAAATTTCGTTTTTCTTGTCAAACGGTTGATTTTGCAGAAAATAATTTTATGAACCAAACATAACATATATTCTTTATTTTGAAATAGTCAAAGACGAGATGCAAAGTTGAAAACTAATACCCTCTATTTACCTTCTTGCATCTACTTTCATTTCCGGATGATCTGAAAGAACCTAGACTGGTGAAAGAATGAACGAAATAGATAAAAATAGAAGACTAGTGAAAGTGGAGACATAATATTTAGTATTGAATAAGGCTCCTTAAATTCAGGATGGTCCTTATATTCAAAAATAAATAAATAAACAACTGCACATCTCTTGATTAGTGCATATACAACAACAAAATAAAACAAAGTTTTGACTCTCGAGTTAAAGTTGAAAACTATAGATCTGATTAATATTTAGTATGAAGTAGTGAAAAACATTAATTTTTGGTGTTCATGCTCTGCTTGATAGTCTCTGCATTTTCTTTAATAGCCTCCTTTGATTCTTCAGCCTTGCCCGCCACAGTCTCTTTGATCTTCTGTGTCGTGTCCTTAACTGAACCCCACGCATCTTGGGCTGTCTGCTTCGCTTTCTCTGCTATATCCTGTGCTAAATCCTGTGCATTTCCCTCCTTTCCGGTCACATCTTTTGTCTTGCGAGACACCTTCAAACACATCGATCATATGTGCAGAAATAATCAAAATTAACGTATCATTGTCGTCATTATTCTTATTTTTATCCTATGAATAAATTCGCTGCATGAATTCTCTTTTATTTCATTCTTTTTTTATTAAATTTTGGTCGGCCTTTTTATCGCCGGTGAATTTCTCTATTTTCTTTGTGTATGGTCCGTGTTAGGTCTAATTTTTCATATCTCTTCTAGTAACTCATATCATCTAATGTAGTAGCCTAGTGTTACGGGGTTCGGACCATCAACCCCTGTGACAGCTAGCAACCCCTGTGACAGCTAGCTCGCTACATGAATAGAATGTTTTTGTGTCTTTTTTAACGCGCCACCACTCTTCCATAATTTGAAAATTATATATATGTGATGATGTGTGTCTCACTCACATCTTCTGCAGTAGAGGCAGCCTTGTTTTTCATGTCTTGCCCGACCCTCATTGCCTCATTGGTGCCTCGTTTTGCTGCGTCCGATGCCCCATCATATGCAGCTGTAGCACCATTACGCAAGCTTCCCTATAATAGACAAATTGTCAGTACGATACAAACTGCAATTTACATATATATATATATATATATATATATATATATATAAAATCATATATCTCACTGAAATTATAACTGATCGATCACCTGGAAAGGTCGTGGTGCAAGTGATACGGAAACCCTAGAGCTCCATGGGCTGCGTGCAACCATTGCTCTGGTGTGTTGGAATTTCGAAAGGGTGGTTGAAAGAGCCATGCTTGCCATTTTTCTCTATCTCGATCTTCTTTTTCTGTTTCAAGTTTAATTTGCTGTGAAGGAAGGGTTTATATAAGAATGGAAGGGAAGGAGTGCAAGTGATCGAAATGGGACGTGTTTGGCCTTCATTTAATATAGGTGTTGTGTGAGATTGACCATTTTCTCTAATTTACATGGTTTTTAATCTATGTTTAGTGATCAATGTGATCCCCTATTTGAGGTTGGTCTCTTGCTTCTTTCCCGATATTTCAGTTTTCTTCGCTGAAATACAAAGAGTAATGCCCTTCAAAGTTGAATTCTTCTGACGACCCAATTTTCTTTTCTTTTTTAATAATTTTTTTTTTCATTTTTATTTTATTTTATTCAAAGTGAACCTACATCTAGCCATTTAACGTTACCATTTAAATTCACAACGCACTTTATAATCATGTCAAAATTGGTATAGTCCTAATATTTAATAGGCATTTTTTTTAAAATTTTTTTTTTTTTAATTATCAATTCGAAGGAAGAAGTTAAACAAAGTCATTAAAATTCCAACTGCGCTATATGAGAGCATCCACTCCAATACTTTCGTTGCAGTGGACCTAATATCATTTTTCTTTAAAAAAATAAAATTGGTGATATGTTTTGTGAAAAATATGTCATTATGGGGATCATTTATTAAAAGTTATTGTCCAAACTATGGATTTAAACTTGGTATTTTTAAAATTTTTTTTTTCATAAAACTTAAAATTAAATGCTAAAAATTTTAAGTGCTGAAATTTTTATGTAATAATTAAAAAATAAATATATTTTTGATATCCTTTTCAATTTAATTTTATCGTAAAATGTTTTAAATGATACTTATTTAACTAGCAATAGGTGTTCAAACTGCATTACGGAACACTTTTTTTTTTTTTTTTCACCAACAATATTTATATGGAGACTTGAACTCTCCAAAATCTCCTTTGAAAAAGGTAACAAAGTTAAGACGCAAAATTGAGGGTTGCAATGGTAAACCGTAAAATTGAGTTTGAAATTGAACCCCTACTGAAGAAAGTACATGTTTTATTGACTTTATAACTAGTTAGTAACTTAGTATGGGCTTTATATATAATTATTGTGGATGTTTTGTGCATTAATACTGGGCAAGAAGAATTGGACGGGCCTCATATGGGCCACTTAATAAATTCTGTCTGGACCGGCTGGTTGGACAACAAGTACTACATAAAGCCTGTGTGGCCTACCGAATGTGCTATTTTATTTTTATTTATTTATTTGTATTGGAACCACAATCTTTTCCTTGGGAATTCAACTGATAATATTTTCCTCTTTCCCATTGTTCTTTATGTTGTTAAAAAAATTTTAATTTGATAATTATAAATATTTAAATTAAAAAGAATAAGTTACTAATTTTAAAAAGAGACAATGGATTAATTACAATAGTAATGATTTATTTTCACTTTGATTGACATAAAGCTTCTCAGCTAGAGGTATATGTAGTTGTAATTTTTTATTGATGTTATTTTATTTTATTTATATATATAAATTATGTAATGTCCCTAAATTTTTAAGGTTTTTATTTATTTATTTTATTTCATTTTATTTAACTACTTGGCTATTTAAATTGTTTGTGAAATGTTTATTTATTTGTTATTTAAATGTAAATTTTTTTTAGATAGTTATAATTTTTCATTGATGTAATTTTATTTTATTTATTTATTTATATATATATATATATTTTATCAAGAAAGTGAAATTTCACTTTTTTATATTTTGCATATATATATCCGAAACACCTTGACATGATTATAATTTCTTCTCATTCTCTCCCTCACTTATATTTAGGCTGCGAATTATTAACCCTAACTCTATGTTATGAAATTCAAAATAAACTTGTTTTACATAGTATTATTTTTTAGTATTATTTTTCTAAAAAAATAAATGAATAATTCTTATGAAACTCAAAATAAAGAATAATATAATATAAAAAAATAAAAATATATATATATATATGCCAACTCAAAATAAAGGAGAATAGATTTAGAAAAAATAAAAAAATTAGAATTAGGATATAGTAGTATTCCGAGATAAATATAGATTTTTATTTTTAAAATTTATACGTCCGTAATATACAAAGTAAAGTTAGAAACACGATTATGTGCTTTCTTGGCAAATAAGAGACTCAAAATCCCAAATCCAGTTCTGAAGCCTCTCTGTAGTCTCTACTTTTTCCTCTTCCCCCTCCTCTCTATCAGCTACTGTACACCATGGGTCAGGGAACTCCCGGCGGTCTGAACCGACAAGGAGGTGACCGAAAGAACGATGGCGACAAGAAGGAGAAGAAATTCGAACCGGCGGCGCCGCCTGCCAGAGTCGGCCGCAAGCAGCGGAAGCAGAAGGGACCAGAGGCGGCCGCGCGGCTGCCGACGGTGACGCCTCTGACGAAGTGCAAGCTGAGGCTTTTGAAGCTTGAGCGAATCAAAGACTACCTTTTGATGGAAGAAGAGTTCGTCACCAATCAGGAGAGATTGAAGCCCCAAGAAGAGAAGACCGAGGAGGACCGGTCCAAGGTCGACGATCTGCGTGGATCGCCGATGAGTGTGGGAAATCTTGAGGAGCTGATCGATGAGAATCACGCTATTGTGTCGTCGTCGGTGGGGCCGGAGTACTACGTGGGAATCTTGTCGTTCGTCGACAAGGATCAGCTTGAGCCTGGGTGTGCGATTTTGATGCACAATAAGGTAATGTTTTTTATGTTTGAATGGCGATTTCGTTTGGTGGTTTAGAAATTAGGGTTTTGACTTGATATGTTTCGATTTGTGTATTGAAATTTGATTTGATGAGAATTGGTAAATTAGGGTTCAAGATTTGAACCTTCTTGAAATTATTCTCTCTATTACAGTGCTATATTGGTTTTAGGGAATTTACTTTTGAAGTTTCGTAATTTATTAGCCTATTGTTTTTGTTGGCGTGGTTTTGGGGATTTAAGATACATTGATATTGGTTTTAGGGAATTTAGTTCTGAGTTTCGTAATTTGTTAGTCTATTCTCTTTGGAATATTCTGCTTTTGTTAATGTTCTTTTTTCTTTGAATCGCTGTGGTGAAGTAACAGTTTGTTAGATAAATTTTTATGACCGGTTTTGTTATGTTTCATGTTCTGTGGATTCAGAAATTTGAATTTTTTTGCTAGGGCTGTGGGTTTGAAGTTTGTGGTTAGCTTGTTATGAAACTAAAAAGAATTTGGGATTTGTGGAGAGTGGATTTGGATTTGGATTTGTGCGCTAAGGTTAGGTCTGTTGTTTGGAATAATCTTCTGTACTATAGAATTGGATTTAATCTCGTAACTGATTTCAAACCTTAAAATACCACAATTTGGAAAAATGTGAGGTTATCTTTCAGGAATCTGTCCCACATGGGGGTTTAGAGTTTCATATATCACATCTTAACATCTGAATGTTCAAAAGTACTTTTTTTTTTTGGGTCACACCTGGGCCCGAATCCTTCCCCATTGGGTTATAGCATTGGGTTAGATGCCCTTTGGTCGAAAAGTACAAATTTTTATTATGCATATTGCACTTTTTTTTTGGTCATTGTCATTAACAGTAATCTGGTATCTTTTCATGCACATGACTAGAAAAGCATTGTTATGTTACCCCGAGTTTCGTGAAATTCTAAATTGGAAGCACATACAAACTACAAAAACGGATCTCTCCACGGTTGCTTAGTGGATATCAAAATTTTTGGCAGTTAGATATATGTATAATTAGTGCTATGTATATTTTTTTGTGGTGCTCGTTTGATCCCACTTTATTTATTTATTTTTTTTAATGATATTCGAAATTCATTAACTGTTCATTCCTAAAGAACCATTTGTTGATGTGAAACTATCATCAACCAAAATCTGCTACTTGCTCTTTTGAAGGTTCTGCAAATAGTTACCATCTATTTTTTGTACAATGAAGAAGTTACTATCCATTTGTTATACTATTTACCAATTGTGGTTTGCTCTAAAAAATTATTTAAGTTGTGGAAGTATGCATGGGAAGAAGTATTGAAGGTTACTAATTTTGCTTCCTCCTTAGGTTCTTTCTGTTGTTGGACTTCTTCAAGATGAAGTCGATCCAATGGTGTCGGTCATGAAGGTTGAGAAAGCTCCATTGGAATCATATGCCGACATAGGTGGGTTAGATGCCCAAATTCAGGAAATCAAAGAAGCAGTGGAGCTTCCTCTGACACACCCTGAATTATATGAGGACATCGGTATCAAGCCTCCCAAAGGGGTCATACTTTATGGAGAGCCCGGAACCGGCAAGACCTTACTTGCAAAGGTGTGTATTTATGTGTCTTTTTTCATTGTGTTGCTGCGTGTCAATTTCATATGAGGTCCTATTCATTGATAAATTGTCAACCCCCCTCCGTTCTCTTTTTTTGTGCATTTCACTGTCTCTAGAATATTCTTTAATGCTATGTACAAACACAATGACTTGTTTGTCTGCTCTTGACCTTGTTCTAATGCTTGCTTCTAAGAAGCACGGACACGGATACGACAAGACACGGACACGGCGACACGGCAAATCCAAAAAAATTAGGGCACGGACACGGCGAATAGTATATATATATATATATATATTTATATATCAGCATTAATAATTTTATAAAAAAAACACGGATATGTTTAGGTTGGAATATATATATATATCACTGATATGTTAGTATATATATATATATATCAGCATCTTTAGGATACGGACATGGCGAATTGTGGCATTTTTAGGTTAGTATATATATATATCAGCATCTTTAGGGTAGTACAAAACAAAAAATAGAACATATCAGTATTAAAAATTTTTAAAAATAAAAAATAAAAAATTAACATATCAGCATTAAAAATAAAAAATAAAAAAAAAAAATTCCAGAAAAGTGTGTTTGAGCCGCGTCTGAGCCGTGTCTGAGCCGTGTCCCAGCCGTGTCCGAAAATTAAAAAAAATAAAAAAATTCCAGACACGTTTTTTGGCGTGTCCGACACGTGTCGGGGCGTGTCCGACGCGTGTCCGTGTCCGACACGTGTCAGACACGGATTCTTCGCCCATTTTGGAGTGTCCGTGCTTCCTAGGCTTGCTTTTATCTTAGGATCGAATCTGGTTACAGACTTGCAATTTAGTTCTTTGCCATATTAAATTTTAACATGTATGAGTCCCCTACTCGTTGGAGTTATACCATGATTTTAATACTTATATTATAGTAGGTGTTTTATTTGTTTTCTCAAACAGTTCATGGGCTGGAAGGGGCCACAGTATCACACTTCTGAGCATCTCTTTTATCTTTTGCTGTTTTTGACTTTTTTTTGCTTAGTTGTTACATGTACCTGCTTGAGAACTTGCTGTGTGCTTAATCTTCTTTTGCGTTGTTCCAGGCGGTGGCAAACTCTACATCAGCAACTTTCCTACGCGTGGTTGGAAGTGAATTGATTCAAAAATACCTGGGAGATGGTCCAAAGTTAGTGAGGGAACTCTTTAGGGTTGCTGATGATCTCTCACCTTCAATTGTCTTCATTGATGAAATTGATGCAATTGGTACAAAAAGGTGAGTCCATGAACATTAGTGGCCGGAAAAAACTGTTACTGTTGGTTGGTTGGTTGGTTGGTTTTAATTATGTATGATTTACAGGTATGATGCCCACTCTGGTGGCGAACGTGAAATTCAGAGGACCATGCTGGAATTGCTGAACCAGCTAGATGGTTTTGATTCAAGAGGAGATGTCAAGGTGATTCTTGCAACAAACAAAATTGAAAGCCTGGATCCTGCACTACTTCGGCCTGGTCGAATAGATAGGAAGATTGAATTCCCTCTTCCTGATATTAAAACAAGGAGGCGCATTTTCCAGGTACATGCATGACTTGATTATATCAATACAATCATGGTTGTGATATTAGTTCTCTTTAGTTCCATCTTCGTGGTAACTTCCATTAGTAAAACCTTAAATTTTTGACTTGCAGATACACACATCAAGGATGACGTTAGCTGATGATGTCAACTTAGAGGAATTTGTTATGACCAAGGATGAATTTTCTGGAGCTGATATTAAGGCAATATGCACTGAAGCTGGTTTGCTTGCTTTGAGGGAGCGCCGTATGAAGGTGAGACATTTTCGTTGATAAATTTCCAACAAATGGACACAAAAATTGTCTTGTTGTTATCCATATTATTAGAACCTATAAAAACAAATCATATATTGTTATTATCTCTTGCTAATTTTTATTTTCACCGCATGACCAAAATTTATTATTGATCATTTAGTCTGTTGAATATTGGACATGCATACTTACAATGTAGGATTGCAGTACCCAGTCATGTTAGATTGGATCCATGTTTGTTGACATATAGATTCACCTATTAACTGTTTGACTAATTCTTGTGAATTTAAGTAGTAGATCAAAAACAGAGGAAAAGAAAACATGGGGGTTGTGAAAGTTGAATGTCAGTTTCCCTTTTGTAGTCATAATTGGCTTTCCAATCTCACACTCCCTTCCTCTCCCCAGATAAACAAAAATAATAATAATAATTATAATAATAAATGGGAAATGACAAGCCTCAAAAGTTATTTTTATTTGTTGAAACCGTTTGACCAACCAATTCAGGTCTATTCTATTGGGATTGAAATTTATTTAGATATTATATTCTAATTCCTATATATTTCAGTTATATGCTGGGTATTATTTTAGAGGAGTGACATTGGCCTCCATATTTTGTCCTTTTTAGTAAACTTGAGATGTCTATGTTTTGTGTGCCTGCCACATAAATTCTTAAGTGCAGTTGACTCCTGTTGGTTCATAGTTTCAAGGCACTTGTACACCATGTCTTTAGGCAAGGTAAGGGTTGTATTCTATGTTTGGAGGTAACTTATCCTCCCAAAAAAATTGGTGGAGGTTTTTTTTTTTTTTTTTTTTTTTTTTTTCTTCACCTCATCTGTATGAAAAGTGCCTGTCACCCCGAATCCTTCTCCATCCTCTTTCTTTCTTTCTTTTATTTCTTTTATTCTTCTCCATTTCTCCTCCTATCATCTTTTTCACTTCCTGGTGCTTCTCTTAACACTTGTTTTCACATTTGCTTGGTTCTGTTAGAAAGTAGTGGAAAGTGAACGAAATGGACTATTGTGGTTCTACACACTGTGAACAGCTTTTTATGCATCAGGGGCTTGGAAGTTGCTTCCTGCCTCCATATTGATAAGTTTACTCCTCTTTCCCTACTATTTGGCCAAAATAGTACTTTTGTCCACTTCTTTTGTTGCCATATATTGCTCGGATTGATGGTTTTCTTTTTTTTTAATATGAAGTTTCAGAAGTTCATATATATGCTAATATTTGAGTTATCATTAGCAATTTTCAAGTTCTGTGTCCACTTTTTGGTTGCTTTTAAAAGTTTCTACATGATTTCCTTTGCCTGGTTTGATTATTTTGTCAGAACTTTGTGGATGTTTGATTACTATTTTAGAAACAACTGCTCGGTTCACCTTTGGCAAAAGGGACTGGAAACCCTAGAATAACCCTTGGGTTGTATCTAATGTGGTAGAGATAAACAAAGCAACGGTGATAATGATGGCGATTTTAACTGATGAAGTTTATACATTAAATTTATACTTTCAAGCTTATTGTTCCTGTACATCGAAAATGTCTAACAAAAACGTTGGATGTGCCTCAGGTGATGCATGCTGACTTCAAGAAGGCCAAAGATAAGGTCATGTTCAAGAAAAAAGAGGGGGTGCCAGAAGGATTATACATGTAATGTTGCTCTCCTCTATATGGGCGCAGCCATGTGTTACTTAAATTTTCAAAATTTGACATTTTCATTTTATTTAATTTGCTCTTTCTAATACAAAAACAAGCCATTCTGTCTGGAAGAAGTGTTTTTTATTTTATTTAAATTTTTTTATATTTAACTGTGGAGTATTATTTGCTCTTTATGATAAAAAAACACTGCCATCCCGAATGGGAAGTTCTGTCATGTTGTGGCAAAACCTAATCGACTTAGGTGTCACTTATCGTTTCTATATATGTTGGAGGGAGGATGCAAGGAAGCTGACTACTTTATGCTTTTATGCGCGGACCATTACTATTCCGAAACAAATTTGAGCCATAACATAACATGAGATCCTGTTGAATGGTATGATTTTATTTTAGCACATTTATGGTATGTAGCCGAAAATTTTGATTTTGGGGGAACTGTAAGGAAATTTAATTTTTTTATAAATTAATTGTAATATAATTTTGGGGCAAGTATAATCCAAAGTTAAAAAAATACAACTTGAATAAATAGAGATGAAAATTTAACATGAGAAAAATAAATAAAAATAAAATAGGAAATGAAAAGTTATCTGGCAGATTAAAATATTGTTAAAGTATTAATTTTCTTTAGCAATTGTTTGAAATTTTTTCAAAAAAAGAATTTTTTGAAAGTTTTTTTTATTTGAGTACTTAGATTTCAACTTGGATGTTTCCAGGGGTACCATCGAAACAAAATATTGCAAGGCCGGTTTAAAATGTGTTATAATATTATTTTTCTGATATTACTTTTTAAATTTGGATCCATATCATATTTAACGATTAATCAGTTTGAAATAGTTCATAATATATTATAGAATAATAATAGAAACACTGAACATTTATTCCCGAGTAGGCACCTGATGTGGTGAGCCACGTCATCTACTTAAAGCTCCCTAGAAAAAAAAATTGATTATGCAAATGACAAAAATACCTTTATGTTCAGTCTTATCTTCTTTTCATATCCTTCATTTTTCTCTCTCTACAATTTACTCCCCTCTATCTTTCACAGTTCACCTAACTCTCTCTACTAACATTCTCGTCACTCTTTTTCATATTTGGATCTGAATAATGAATTCTCTCTTTTCCATCTCTCTCAAATTCCATTACTTTTTCTCTATCTAAAAATTTACCTATCTCCTCTCTCTCTATGAAATTTTTCTTTACCTTTGCTCTACAGGATTTGGGTTTAAATTTTCTTACTCTACAATCATTTTTTCTCTTTAAAAATTTATCCCTCCCTCTCTCTATAAGATCTTACACATAAACCTTAATCTCTAAACTTCATCAAAATAAGTCTATTCATCTATATCATGGTGGCTTATTAACTTGGTATGGTCTTTTTCGAAGAGATAAACCAGAGAAAAAGAATAAGTAGTTGAAAAATTTTCTAGTATGATATGAATTTATGAATTGAGAATATGGTGGCCATGGAATATGCAAAAAGAAAGAGAATTTTGGAAAGTGATTTGATAAAATATGAGGGGTAAAGTACAGTAACATCCCCCGGAGGCTTGTACATCCAAATGAAAGTTACTTGTTTTTTTAGATAATGACACCCTTTGAATATTGAAAAGTGGACAAATGCACCTTTTGAAACTAACTGTCATGAAAAATTGACCAAATTGACTTTTGACCATTTAATTGACCTTTCTTTTTTTTCTTTTTTTTTTAATAAATTAGACGAAACTACTCTTATGAACAAACAACCACAATGCTAGGAATATAGACTACATATATATATATATATATATATACACACACACATCCCTAAAATAGATTAATAAATTGGATGAAAGTACCCATGTGTGAATTAATAACAAAATTTTTGATAAAAAATTTTGCCACAATTTTTGGTCAAAATTTTTGGTACAAAAAAAAAAAAAATAAAAATAAAAAAACTATTTGTTTTCATTCTGCCACAATTTCTAAAAATAACAAAATTGATAATAAAATTGCATATTTCTTTTGTTGTAATAAATTTTCAATTTCTTACAAAAAGAAAAAAGTTTGACCAATCTAAAAGGGTATCTATGGGTGCTACTTATATCTGTCAATGTCGTTCAGTTTTGCTTTCAAAAATTTGTGAGATATTATGGATGGGTTATCCAACCTCTTAATGATTTCTTTCAAGAGCTAAACTTTCAGGGGCAATTGCATCATTTGACAGGTTTGATATTTTGCAATAAATCTGAATTTAATATTAAGGGACAATTTTGTCTTTTCATATGATTTAAGGTCTTGTTTGGATGGAATTTCTTTAAGGGGTATTATTGTCTCAAAAACTTTCATTTAAGTGTCCTTTTGACAAATCTTAAGGGTGTTGCTGTACTTTATTCAAATTTGAGAGAGCAAAGGAGTGAGGTATAAGGGCAAAAACTTGGGCTAGAAATTATAAGAAATATGAACAAGAGAATCTGATGTGGCGAAACTATGTCATTTTCGGCGTTCATTTGGTAATTTTCGTTCTGTTACTGTATCATTACTCTTATTAGTGTTTTCCTTCTTTCCAAATTTCCAATGCTCTCATAGACTCATGGAATGAGATTAAGATATGATTCTAAATATTTTTAAAGAAGGTTTATATATTTTTATTAAAGATGACTAGACATTAGTGTAATTTTTACTCTCTCTCTCTTTTAAATTTTGTATGCAATTATGTAAATAAAGTAATAATATATTACAATAAAGACTACTATAAAACATCAATTTATATTTATTTCACTTAAGACTTTAAAGGATAAAAATGTTCAAGCTGAGATTTTATGGATTTCACATAGATAAATTATACTTATTTCAAAACTCACTATTTTTGGGCCATTTGAAGAAGAAAAAAAATAAAAACCAATAAATAAGTATTTTGAAGAAAAAAATGATTGGGGGGCAATACATTTTGTTTTTCTATGAGTTTGAATACTAATTACAAAATAAGTTATCAACGAAAATTTGATGTTCTTTTAAGTCACACCACACCATCTCCGATGAAGTGATTAACTGTTAGGTATTCTTTACTAACTGTGGTTACTGCTATCAATGGTTTTGCACTTAAAGTTAGTGCACTATGATAATGTATCACACAAACGATAAGTTAGGTCATTCATAAAAAGTCACCATGAGAGCTTGATTTATTTATTTTCCATTTATTATTATTTTTTTACTGCGAGCAAGATAAAGTGATCAACACCGACAAACATTATTATATTAAATATATACAAACTCTACATAATTCTGTATATTTTTATAATCGTCTTTATTCTTGAAAATTCCTACAAGCTTTCTAATGTTCTTGAATTATCTCTTCTTCTCATAAATAGAAACAATCTAAAATGTAAAGTCACACAACAATCCTAAAGTTGTGATGGGCCGAATTACCTAATAATTTTTCACTCTCCTCCTATACAGAGTCATCCTTGTCTCTTGCCTGGTGCAACTTTCTTGTAAATAAAATACTGGTTTGGAAATGTATGCGTATCATTCAAAATTATTTGCTAAAAAAAAATTGTTAAAATTTCCGCAATAAAAAATAGAAAAAAATACTAATGCGAATATTATAATTTTTTTAGTTAGAGATTCAAGAACAATATAATAATTACTCGATTAAAATTATAAATTTTGAAAAATATTAAACACAAGTCACACAACAAAGTTACTTCCTGGTGAGGGTTGAACCATGCACTTCCAAGTTTCCAAAGTTGCACAAAGGCATTGCAGAGACCTCCATGTCTCTTGTTGTTTTTTAGGTCAATTAAAAAAAAAAAAAAAAAAAAAAAACACTAGTAAAATTACACCACCCAAATATACAATTCAATTATAAGATATTTTCAACAATTTGTAACACTTATTAAACTAACCAGAGTTTTTTTTTTTTTTTTTTTGGGTGAAATGGGTGAGTATCCTATACAAAAGCGGAAAATTGTACATATGCTGTTCAAGAGAGCAAAGGCCTTAGAGACAATTGACTCACAAATTGTTTGTTAGGTAAAATTGTAATTTTTAGTCGTGCTTTCATTTGTGTGAAAATAATAATTTTTGAAGAGTTGTGATGTCAAAACCATAACAATTTGGTAACGTCGAAAAGAGAAAACATGTTTGCTAATTTTTTTAAAAAGAATTGACTCTTTTATTTACTATTAGAGTATAATTGAAAAATAATAAAACAATAAAATAACACTCTTCATTTTACTATAAATGTCATAGACAGTAGTACTATATAATGCGTAGAATTGGAGAGATAAAAGAGCAGCATTAACGAGGCTTCTACAGATAGTGAAGATGGAGATTGGAGAGAGAAAGCGTGCTTGCCAAGGGGTTTGAATTTTGAAGAAAGAAGGAACTGCTCTCTTCAATTTATAGGGTTTGATATTCAGATTTGCGACGAAGAAAATCAGTCTGGGGCGTTGACAGATGGGGCCAAAAAAATGTCAGGTTTGCGACGAAGCAACATCCAAGTATAAGTGTCCTACATGTCTCATACACTAGTAAGTAAACTGCTCTCTTCAATTTCTAGGGTTTCATATTCAGATGTTCGTAACTTTTTCTTTTTGGCCATTAGAGGAACTGATCGATCTTTGGTCTCGCAGTTGTTCTGTGGTCTGTTTCAAGAAACACAAAGGTACGTGACTCTTCTTATTTTTATGAGGCTTACAATTTGTTTTTTCTTTTTTTAATCTTTTGTATGCTTTACTTTGGATTTTGATTCAACATCGTACAATGAGGTCGTGTGTTGTTTTCTTGAGTGAAATATTGTGATGCTTTTCTTTAATCAACCATACTCTTAAAAACTCCCCAACTCATTGTTCTGAAAAATTCGGATTCAGATTCACATCTGGTTTGAAATCTGGTAAAATTGTGTAAAAGGCCATTAAATAGAAAGATTGTTATCTCTCTACACACATACACATACATACATGTGTATTTATGCTCAACTCAAAGCCTTTTCCTATCTATATGTATGTATACCTGTCAAAGCACACACACCCCACCAAATCATGAAAAATCTAGAAGAATAAATACGTAAACAAACTATTGATATTGCTTCAAACTTGATGTTGAAATTAACTAAAAACTGAACTTGTTTCCTTATACAATCTAAATGACAAAGAAATTAGAACTGTGAAATGATGTTGTGGGATGATTATTGATGGTGGGTAATTAAGAATTGAATTTGTTTTGTTAAGATGATTAATTATTCAGAAGCAATTGAAACAAAACTATATTGATTGATAAATTCCTTTCTTCTTTTCCTTTTTTTTGTTTTAACAATTTAAATCTATTCAATAATATTAAATCATCATAGGTGATTACAATTTTGGCATGACATTATATGTTGATACATAATCTGAAACAAATGCTAGCCAAGTAATCTTTTAAAGAATAATTGAAATGAACGAATTTTGAATTTATAATGTTTTGCCCATTGTAGGTTGAATTCTAGTTACAAGCTTTCCATTTCCTTTTCCCAGGATTATGAGGATTTTATTGTGACTATTGTTGCATATTTTGGTATGAGAACTATCCCATTTATAGTGCTATGTTTGAAACTGATGTAAACTTACATGTATGCTGCAGAAATTCCATGTGTTAAGCCAATATCTCCTTCCGAGGCAAAACTGAGTAAGGATTCTGTTTGCTTTGTATTTTGTCATTTATCTACTTGTTTGATACTATGCACTGAATGTGCTTGATTTTCTAGAGTCCTTTTGTTTTCTTTACAATTACTACTTAGTACCTACAAATTCATAAACATTTAGTACACAAGAAGTAAGTATTGAAAATAATTTTCTGGTCATGACTGGCACTTGCAAATTTGCTAATCTGTAGAATCATTGAATCAGAGAGATAGAAATCCATGTAGAGTATAAAAATTCGCTAATCTGTAGAATCATTGAATCAGAGGGATACAAATCTATGCTGTGGATAGTTCTTGTAAAATTTGAGTGGAATTTTGTTAATCTTACTGTTCCTTAGAGTCATAAACATGAATCCTTAGTTCTTATTTAGCTATAAGAGTGTTACTATACTACTGTGGTTGGTGGTGTAGCATGGAGCATATATTATACTAGCAGTTCCTATTTAATCATAAGTGGATTTTTTTTTTTTGGATGGGCCTGGTGGCACTAAAGCTCAGAACCAAAAGTGACACTTGTGTGGGTAGTGGTTTTTTTTTTTTTTTTTTTTTTTTTTTTTTTATTTTTTTTTGTGGGGGGGGGGGGGTGGGGGTGGGGGTGGGTGGGTGGGGGGGATTAAAAAGTTACTGTTCCTTAGAGTCATAAACATGAATCCTTAGTTCTTATTTAGCTATAAGAGTGTTGCTATACTACTGTGGTTGGTGGTGTAGCATGGAGCATATATTATACTAGCAGTTCCTATTTAATCATAAGTGGATCCTTTTTTTTTTTGGATGGGGCTGGTGGCACTAAAGCTCAGAACTGAAAGTGACACCTGTGTGGGTGGTGGTCTTTTTTTATTTTTTGGTTTTTTGGGGGGGGTGCGGTGGGGTTTGCACTATTAAAAGTTACACGTGAGGGAATGATGTCCCTGTGATAGTGTTAAGATGCTGGGTATAATAAACTTTCAAAACTTTTGGGTTGCCAAAGTGTAAATGCTAATTTGCCTGCTGAGAAATCTCCTTCCCTATAGATATGGCTTATACAGGATTCTTAATTCTACCGAAGATGGGTTTGACACCGATTGACAATAGGAGCTAGTAAGCCTCTATGGAATTTGCTTCTATGTCCTGAACTTTGGCAGACAATTGTTCCCACTACAATTTACTATATCCGACTTCCCATGCCATTTAAACTCTTGATAGATAACCTCAATTATGTCTCAGTCACTCCTGCTCCAACGTTAATCAAGTAGCCCAAATTAATTTCTCACATCATCTTTAAAATCCCTGCCCTACTGGCATGGCCAGGGTTGCCTTTTGAACTACCATCAGTGTTCAGCTTAATGTACTCACCATTTGGGATATTCTTTCTAATGTAAATCCCATTTAGAGGTTTTTCATCTGGCCAGTTCCGGTGGCAGTCATCACCTCTTTGACTTTAGCCAAGATATATATGTTTTTGGATTGAAGGATACTCATAGATTAATCCATTTTTGCTTCACAGCTTCTTGTAATCCACATCGGCATGTTAAGGAATGACTTTGTCTCGGTCTCAAAGTATTGGTGCCAGAGAGTATCCATGGCTAAGAGTAGAATGAACTAATTCTCTGTTAGTATTCTGACTGCAGAACCTGAACCAATCAAGCAATTTCAACAGGGAGTGTTCTTCATCCCAATTTGGCCATCATAACGACAATCATATGTGACACCTATCTTAATCTTGAACCCCCTACAGTCTTCGGTTTACAAATTATAACCCAGGTGACCATATGAACCTTTTTCTTATTGCTTTGTGATGCTTAGTTTTGAGAATTCTGGTTTAAATTTCTACAAGTTTTGATGTAATTGTATGTTTTAGACCAAATAACTTAGTTGATAAGGGGTGAATTAATGAAGATAGCTAGAAGAACATTATGCATCTAAGGAAGGGTCTGAAAAAATCACCGGGCCTCTAAATTCTTCATGAAGTCAGTGACACCCTAGGATATGATAAATTAAATTTAACCATTTGAGCAAAGTGAATTATCTTGTTGAATCAGTTGGATGCATTATGATATAGACATGTCAATGAAAGAACCTTTTGGGCATCAACAAAAGTATCAGGTTTCATGGTCATCATCTGTGTCACTGTCTTTGACATTGGCACCTCTGTTAGTTTTTCTTGTTGCACAGATGATATCTTGATTTATAGCTTCATATCAACAATTCAGATGCCATGATATTACAATCGCGCCTCTTTTATAATCAATTGCTCAATTAACTGAAATTTATGTTAAACGTAAGAGAACTTAATGATGCCAAAAAGCTCTATTAGAAATATATGGTTGAATGTGGCCCCATGCACAATTCATGTGGAAATCCATAGTTATAATAAGCTTGATGTGACCTTTAATGAGATGTTAGATAGAATGCTGTGTCTCTTTTACTGCAATATAGCAATGTCTTCTCAGATTTACCACTGAAACTGACTCAGCTTTTTGCTTCAAACCTAAGAGAAACCATATTTATAATAAAAAAATGAAGAAGAAAGTTTATTCCCTCATTTGGGAAATCCTATTACCTTCTCCTAGCAAAAATTTTCAACATGTGTAGTAGGATGTACCTTGCATTAGTGCAATTGCGTGTTTTGACATTGACTTTAAGTGCTTTCTTAATTTTCTTTCTTTCTTTATTTTTTTTGTGTTGCATAATCTGTCTCTGAACCTTCCCTCTTGAGCTTGTTCTGGTTGTAATTAGAGGTGATCCATGGCACTTCTTCCCCCCTTGGGAGGGGTAGGCTTAGTAGTTACCCAAGACTATGAGGATACATCCCTGATGCTACCTATTTGCTTCCGCAATTAATCCTTTCCTGAAGTGATGCCTCTCTCTAGTGGATCTGCATACTGTTGGAAGAATTGCTTTGTGAATGCTAGTAGGTTGCATCGATAGACTGTGCTTGTGGGTATGCCACTATGTGTGATACCCCCTAATTTTGGAACACAGGTTGATCAAGTCCGCGCACAAAATCAAGGAATATTAAAACAATTTTCGTATTTAACAAGCACAGAATACAAAGATGAATAATAAAGAATAAATAAACTGCTGAAGAAAACTAATAAATAAATATTACTTAATGATTCTCCAACAATTACAACTCGGAAATCCCATAACTCAAGGACCCCTTAAAACATTATCCAATAATCCAATACTATTTAAAAGTACACAAGATGAATAGATGAATGACAGTCTTCCAGCTGCGGATCCTCAACCTCGAGACTGGAACCTCTAATAACCTGAAAAATAAATCGTGGGTTAAACCCTACGAGCAAGTTCACTCTATCAGGCCTCTGAAAACTAATAAGCAGATCATCTCTAATCAAACCAAACCTAATAAAGTTTTAACTTTAATAAAGTACGATATACATGTCTATATATAATTATATATACTATACTAATCACATCCGTTAATAGGTTTATTAAATTTCCATACCTATTAAATAATTATTAAAATAATATTCATACCTAGACCAATCTACCATTTCATTTAAAAAAAAAACTACTTTGACCTTAATCCCATCCTAGTCAGTTGTTTAATCATTTATATAATAAATTATAATAAAAGGCATATTATAATTAATCCCAAAACCCGATGATGATTTTAACTAAATCACATATCCAAAATCTCAGCATTGACAAATCATCCATGTCTCCACCAATATTATTTTATTAATATAAAATAATACACTAACCAGTAAGTACTAGATTATAATAATTTAAAAATATATAATCATAATCCAGTGTATACATACAATAACCATAGATGATATTTTAATCATCTAACACATAACAATTTAATTACGCTTTGGCAAATTAACCATGCCATTATAAATATTTTCATTGATATATTGGCAACTCAACCATGCCTCCTTAAATATATTTATTTATACATTGGCAAATTAACCATGCCTCCACAAGTATATTTATTTACATATTTGGCAAATCAACCATGCCATTATAAATATATTTATTTATACATTGACAACTCAACCATGCCTCATTTAAGTATATATATTTATACTTTTAAATTAACAATTCAACCATGCTTTCTGTGTGTGTATTTTATTCATACAAATACTTAGGCAAAATACTTACGCCTATGGCAACTCATCCATGATAATTATATATGTGTATATATGATTTAATTAATTTATGTGTAGGATGGAAGGAATTATATGTATATGAATATATGATTTTAAATAATCAAGGATTATTATTGAAGGTATTATACATATATATATATTATATAATATATGGGTATATGTATATATCATTTAAGATAATTAAATTATTATTCTTATTTGATATATTATATTAGGCTGGTTATTAAATTAATCTTATGCATATAATATGCATATATATAACTCCTTCCATCACCAAACTATTAATTAATGGCATTTACGTAAATTAAACGTTTAAATTTAAAAATAAATTAATTCAGACATAATTATTTAATGCATATTATATGCATAAGATTAAAAATAAAACAATCATCGTATCAATCATCACACAACAATCATCGTATCAATAATTCACGAAATATAAATAAAATAAAATAATTAATCTAAGCACTCAATAAAACAAATCAATTAAAAATTAAAATAAACGCAATTAATTCAAATTAAATCAAATACATCATTTAAAAATAAAATAAAAGTAATTAATTCCAATTAATAAATCATTTAAAATATCGGGGTATTACACTATGCTAAAGTTAGGCTTGCCTGTGGGACCTATGATGTTGCATCAATTTATGTGGAACATTGATAACGACCCATCATGCCCACACCATGGGACTTTTGCCCACATTGTTGGGTCCACTGCTTGAATGATTGCAATTTGAAGCTTCGTCACCCCACCCCAACCAATATCAGTGTTTTAGCACGTCATTATCAATTCTAATGGTCATTGTGTATTCATGTCATTAGAACATTGAATTTGCACATTCTCAGTATTGTCAAACTGTGCTGAGAGGACCATGGCTCTTGGTTTGTTCTCACTCCCAGTGATGCTGACTTGAGTTCACTGTTCACATATTTCTGCATATTCATTAGGTTTACATGCCCTAGTGAGTGAGACAGCATGTGGTGGCGGCCAGTTTGTGTTGGCTGGTTGCTTTATGATGTAATCTGACCAGTGACAGTTTCCTCAAACTCATGGTGGCAAATAAAAGTTTATTTTGGATAATTTTTGTTACGTATTAATATATAATATGATAAGATAGGAAGAGAAGAAAGTGGTAGAAAGAGATATAAGAAAGAAAATGGGAAAGAGAGGGCACAACAAGTGATTTTTGAAGAGAGACATGCAAAGAGAAGTAATATTTGTTCTTATCAAAAAAAGAGAAGGAATATTTGTAGAAATTAGAAATTTTATTAGATAAAGATAATGAAAAGAGACAGAAAGAGAAGCAAAAGGAGGAGGGGAGAGATAGAGAGTATTTGTATTTTATTCAAATTATTATTCCCAATTTAGGGTTAATCCTGTTTTACACACTTGAAGAGCTAAGTTATAAAACCCTAAAAACAAATATCTCTTGCTGTGCTCTAACTGATACTTTCATTTCTCGGCAGTTTATCTCCTATCCTGGTCAAAATTTTCTCATCAAAGCATTCAGTGGCAGTTGGGGATGAAGAATCCTAGCTGCTGTTTCCATAATCTTTACCTGATGTAATAAAATCCAGTTTCTATTTCTGAATGGTCAAAAAGTTGCTGGCAACACTGTCAATGCATGGCCTTTTATCTTCTTGGTTTGTAAAAGTGGGCGATATAGTAATCTAATTTTAGATAGATTATAATGAGGTCTACCTTCATGCTCTATTTTTTTGTTTCAGCCTGCTATTGAGGTTACTGTAGTTTAGTAACTGACTAAAGCGTTAGCTTATCTGGATGTTCCTTCACACGTTTAAACTGACGACATGCCATCGGTTTTCTGACGATTCTCTTTTCCCTAAAGTTTCACCAAGTCCAGCATCTTTCTCCCTGTCCTATCCTATGTGTCCTGTTGTTAATGGATAATGGTATGCATCTCGATGTTGCTTTTGGGGTATTCCCCGACAATTTATTGAGCTGCGAATATTGTTTATTGGATACATTTGGATTTTGGTCTATGGGCTTCAATTTATGTAATTTCTAGGGACAGGTTCGATTTTTTTTTTTTCCATTGCTTCCTCATCCTTTGAAAAATATCTGAATACACTTCTTACCTTTTTCAGGCTCCTCTCTGGGGGCCGATACACCATTCAGTAGTTGGTTGCTGTTTGATGGTGGGTCTCTTTTTCTACTGATCTATCACATGCTAGTGTATGGGAGTGATGCTGTTGCCAGATGAGTAACATTTGTAGGCATAATTATGTTACCTAGATTGGGGTTAAGTGTATTGGGTGTAGGTGTGTATTTAAGTGTCGGACCTCCTTGAATTCCAAATCTTAAATTACGGGGAGATGTGTCCAAAAGTTGAATATGGGTATGTAGACAGACACATACCACACAATAAAATACATTATTGGATTCGGCCTCAGAATGAATGTCACCCTTTTCTAACTGAACTGGGACTGAGCTTGGATAGGGATTCATGTTTTATTATACTATAGTGTTCAATGATATTTTTTACTCGATTATTACTCAAATTAAATGGGATGTGGTAAAAGAAAAGGTTTCTATCTATGTAAGAGATGGGAAACTCAATTCTGATATTGAGTTTTTTTGTCTTCTCCAATCATGCTATGTGAAAGGGGTGTATGATTTGAGTTTGTGCATCTGATTCATATCTTGTATCCATAGATTCCATACTAATGTCATGTCGTGTCGATGTGTCAACTATGTGAAGGAAATAAGAGACTCCATGTAATAGCATATCATATTTTGCTTTACCTAATTGATGTCTATGTTCTTCCTAATTTATGTGATTTGTTCTTTTCTTTTAGATCCCCCCGCCCCTTCTCTCTCTCTCTCTCTCGGGTGGGCCTCGGAGCAACAATAAGGTTGTTCCATTGTCGCCTGGAGGTTATGGGTTTGAAACGGTAGTTAACCTCTCTGCATGTAGAGGTAACCCTTCCCAAAAAGCCTCGTGCACTGGGCTAGCTCCTCTCTCTCTCTCTCATATCATGTCATATTGCCTAACAGTGATCATTGGTTGGTGCAGTATTGCAAGTTTGGTCTGACAAGCAGTAACCATGGAAATTGTGTCAAAGATTAAGTTCGTGCCTAGTCTCTCTCTCTCTCTCTCTCTCTCTCTATGTGTGTGTGTGTGTGTGTGTGTGTGTGTGTGTGTGTGTGGTTAATGGCCTTTTACATAATACAGTCTGATGCCTACTTATTCTACCCATAAGGAGTTTCAGTGGTACTGGCTGATATCGTGACCAAGGCGCTTAGCCACAACCACTCCTCCTATCTTACGCAGAAAACTCTCTGATTTCAAATATTTCCAATGAATTTGAAGTTTACTTTCCCATGGAAGAGCACCCTTGGTAGTTTCTTCTTCCTTTTATGATCTTGCATTGAAGGATGTGGTTAGTTTTAATTCTCTTCCTTCTTCTTCTTTAACACCATTATACTGGCAAAAGAATAATTTTCTTTAATATTGCATCGAGAGTATATTTTACTCTTTACTTCGTTAGTTATATTCTTTCAGCCTTTACCTGTTGTACTAAGTTTTTATTTTGTGGTGGTTGCTGGCTTTCATGATACTCTCTAACATGCATTTGGGTATGGTTGTCCTGTACTGGTTTGCATTCAGGTGTTAAATCTGTTTGACCTCTAATACCTCCTAGGTCACTAAGACAGCTGAGTTATCGAAAATTTCACATTCTGTTCTTTTATATCTAAGTCTAAGTGAATTTTCGAGTGCAAAGATGATAGTATTGGGGCATTGCTTGGTGTAATAGTAAAATGCTTAGGAAGTGAAATGTGAGAACATGGTTATAATAGTAAAGGTTAGGTTTGTATGCAGTCTACCCCTTTCAACTTGCTGCATTGGCGGGACTAACACTTGGTAATAGTTAGTATAGGATGAGGACATGTTTGACTTGGCGTCCTACTTAATTTGGGATATTTACGTAATATTGTACAGTGAGAAAGTTGATCAGAGATTCTGCAATGTAGGTTCTCATTTTGTGACATTTACATAACATGGGAGCAGATTGAGAAAGTACTTTTGGAAATTTTGGCAATATGGAGATCTGTTTAGGTCCTGCGTAGAACATAGTTGCTATTGTTGGGTACTAATCTGAAACTGGCTCGTCCAAATATATACCATTCTGAGTTGCATCCTTTAAGCTGTATTTCATAGGAATTGGGTTTGTGATGATCTACGGTTACCTTTGCCTCTGACCCCGAAGAAAAAGACGAGTTCAGAAGAAGGATTGACGCCTACCGGTTACCCGCTTCTCTAGTGGTTCTGATCCCAAAGGTTAAGCATCCTCCGCGAGTGAATCATTTTCGGCCTCTCTCTTTTGAAGTGTCCATGTAAGATAGATTATACCCCCTTTATCTATCTTTGTGGTTTCTACAATGTACATGTCTAGTCTGCATTCACATCTACTTTCTGCATGGCTTAATGATATGCTCGTTCACTGAACCATGATGGTTTAGGAGGGGAGGGGAGGGGAGGGGGGGAAACTCTTGGGGGCAGCAGGAAGAGGAGGTTTGTAGAGGAGGGAAGTGCAATGTAGTATTTTCTTATCATGGTCCTTGTTATATTGTAACTCATTGCAAAGAGTTTTTTTCTGTGTTGTTTTTAGTTTTTCTAATGCTCTCTCAGTCTCTGGTCTCTCTGATGGTTGGGATTGAGGGGAACTGGTGCCTGCAGTCAATATGTGGGCCCACCTCTGGTTATGCTTCAAGGTTTTCTTTTATGGTTTTTGACATTATCCATCTCTTGTCTATCAGCTTCAGCTTCAGTGTCGCACGTTGAAAGACCATACCATGTTGATGAACCAAGTGAGGTGCTGCAACAAATGCAATTAGAGTCTATAGGTATGGTTTTCTAACTGGATCTGAAGTAATATGCTTTGAAATTCTTGAGACAAGTGGAAGGTTTGGGTTGCTTAGTTTAAAATATTGAACTTATTTGCAAAGCAAGTTTTATTATGTCAACGTTTACAAATTTATCAGAATTCTAGTACAACACTGACACATTGATCAACGATGCCCCAATGAGATTGAAGTGTTGCAATTTATGGCAAAACTGGGAATGTTATCCATGAAATCTTATAAAATGTAAAACTGTGGTACTTCAATTCTTAATTTTGCTACCCAGAAACAAAAAAAATAAAAATAAAAATAAAAAGAAGAAAAAGAAAAGAAGAAACATATTATGGTGTTTGTCTCAAAATTTCTCCATTGTGACCATCTATGAGACATTTACAGGTACAGTAACATTTATATCTTGTGTTCAAAATGAAATGATAGAATATAAGAACTGGCTAGAATGATATCTATTAAAATCTCAGGGCTCACAGTGGATCATTAGATTATTTGGTCACTGGAGCCTTTAGGGAATATGAATATATCAAGAGAGATTTTATTTGGATTCATCGCAGGGCAGTAGTATATTATGTGGTCATTGCAAGTATCGGTGGCATTCTTGGCAAGACTTTTTGCTCATTTTCTGGATTCAAATGCAGATTGAATTGAGAATCAAGCTTTTTAAAACCAGATTGTGGCTTCCAATGGGCGCCCAATGGTATGACCTCCCTACCTTTGAAAAGGAGGGGAGGGGTGCGACCCCTGGTGTGGGCTATGTGTTTAAGTACTAACCTGATGATAACAGATTGTGCCTAGAAGTATTACACCCACCAAAAAATAAAAATAAAATAAAATAAAAAATTGATTGAGAGAGAAGAGAACTAGACGAAGAGAGAGATGTAAACAAAGATAAGAAGAGAGGAGTAGAGGAGAGAGGAGAGAGAAGTAGAAGGGAAGAGAGAGAGAAGAAGATGAAAGAACTGACGTGGCTTCGTTGTTCATCTCACGGTCTCACTCTTTCTCTCTTCTGTTCACACTTTGACTTTTGGACTTTCTTATTTGTTTGTTCTTTTGTACAAAAGTTTCTTCTCTCGAACGCTTCGGCTTTCTTATTTGTTTATTAAATTGCCAAAAGTATCCTTTTTGGCTTTAGAAATGGAATAATCGAGTTTTTGTTTTTTTTTTTTTAAAAAAAAAAAACTTGTGAGGCGCGCCTAGGCATGCCTGACAAATAGGACGAGGCGCGCCCCTATTAAACATCAGTCAGCCTGGGATGACAACAGGCACTAGACCTGCGCCTTGAGCTTAGGCGCGCCTTTAACAACACTGATTTAACTCATTATTGATAAGCATATATTGTATTTCTGACTTAGCAGTTCAGAATCCCCAACAATAATTCCCAGCACTTCGACCTTTTGCATGATTATTGTGTATTTGCTATGATAAAATTTCAAAATCAAATATAGGACTTGCCTTTTAAAACTTTGGAGACAAAATGTACGGGAAGTTGAGGCAACACATGGAAGGTTTGTAGGATTGTGCATATTTTTTTTTCTTAGTACTCACACACGTGTCTCCACTGAGGCTTGAACCCCTGACCTCTCTTTGGGAAGTCAGAGCCTGATATTGCTAGGCCACTAACCCGTTGGTAGGATTGTGCATTTTATATGTGGTAATATCTTGATGCATCCAATATGATATTTTCCACTGCTATATATATGATGCCAGCACTTCTATCTCCCAGCTTCATTTACACCGTCAAGTCTCAATCATCTGTCCTGAGGACGATCTTTTTGCATAAAGGCAGCTTTACTGTTCCATGTGCTAGTAGATAATGGGGCTTTATTACCGGGCTCTTCTGTTCCTCTTGTATTCGCTCCTGGATATCCTCAATATTTTCCGTTTAATGTTTCTCATTTGGATTGCTTGCCACTATACTGAATCACACTAATCATTTTAGTTTTGCCTTTTTGTCGCATGGGTCAATTGTTAGTCAAAACACAGAATTTGCATTTCTGACACAGAATGTGTTCCACACAATTCTTCTACATTTTGATTCTGTAAATTTGAATTTAATTTATTGTTGTTTGTTTGAATTCATTTACAGGAGCAAAAATGAAGAGAAGATATATATATATATATATATGAAGAGTTCTAATATATATGTTGTAGCTGACAAGGATTACTATTATAATTAACTTATTTTTTCTACTACATTTAAAAATTTAAAAAGCAAGACTAAAAGGGATCATTTAAACCACCGTTAATAACCATAAAAAATATTTTATTTTATTTTGTTCTTTTTTGTGTTGGGGGGCTTCAATTATCCTACACAAAATCACCATTAATAGCCATAGATAAGTAGCATTGATAAGTTTTGAGGAAAAATAATTGTGCTGCTGGGGAAAAGAGGCTGGGGATAGAATGGTCTTAAGGGAAAAGGGTATTTGTAATTGCTGTGAGAGCTCCAAAACAATTGAAAACTTTTTTTAATCCTATGCAGCTTCTTCCAGTGAAATCCGTGATGCTTTAAAGGATGAAGAACTTCAAAAACTCATATACAACATAGATTGTTCGCCAGATGCTGAGAATGTAAGTATGATTTTACCTACTTAATGAACACATTGAAGATTTTCTTTATCCGGAACTTGTCACTGGAAGATGATATTGTATCCTAAATAAACTTAGGACTGGCTGAAACATTGAAAGTCAAATCAGTCACGACTCTCTTGCTTCTTGTGTGGATCTCTTGCCAATCCATACAGGGAAAAAGCAAGGTTGAAATCGAGTTGGGTCATTGGCTGTGTGTTATACTTGTCTATATATATTGAAAGAAAATTCAATCCAAGTTTTATGCTACCTCTTTCTAGGAACTCGACAGAGCAATGCAAGTGGATGTATTCCGCAAATTTGCTGACAAGGTATCACCTTCAATTGCTTTAGAGTGGACCTATTCATGAATCCAGCTGAATTGCTTTAGATTGTGGATTTTGGGTAAATCAGACATGATTACTTATTAGCTGTTATGTTTTTCTCCGTTTTCAGATTCTATCTAGCATTAGTCCACCGTAGAGTGGGGTTCTTGTAGCTGGACGAAGATATTGCAAGAACCTTGAACCCTTAGCGGAGAAGCGTTTTGTAAAGCTATATACTTTTTTCTCTTCTTTGACTCAAATGCGGCTGTCTATCCTGGCTCCAAGGGTAAAGTTCAACACAAAGTTTTTGTTTTTTAATAGAAACTTGATAAAGACGGGACAAGATTTGTTTTTAGGATCTTGTTACATTTTGTGGCTGCCTAATTTTTTTCATCAGGGTTTGTGAATTTTATCAATCATCGTCCATCCTATCCCCTATGAATTTGGTTGGGTACGTAAATCATCTTTCCTATAACATTTAACTTTTTAAAGTAACCATTTTTTTTTTTTCCCTCTCTAAATTGGGCTCACTTGAACAATCGGCGCCCAGAATGAACTTTCAATCTGTGCTGGGCCAACAAGAACCAATTAAAGCTCTACATTGGGGGCAATTTAGGCCCTTGTTGGGTCCAATTGTCCTTTTTCAACTAAAGCTTGAAAATGGGTTACTTTATGCGGGGGTGGTACTGCTGTGTGGGCCAATTCTCCCAAGGGCCCATAGTACGAGCAGATTCCGCCTGTCCAATTGAATCTCAGTCCAGTTGAAGCTCGGATTGGGCCCAATTGAGGCCCATTATGGGTTGCTGTACGGTATAAATTTGCATTCCCTACCAGCTGGGCTGAAAAGTCCAATTGAAGTTTGGATATGGCCCATGTAGGCCCATTATGGGTTGAGGTATTAGAGCCTGACTCAGCAGAAAGTATGCTGAAGGGGATGTCGGGCCTCAAGGGGGGATTGTGATGACCTTGTGGGCGGGTGTGTTGTGAGCGGGTGCGAGACACTGACAGGCTACCATACTCAGCGAGCTGCTGGTACACCATCTGCTTATATGTGGGTGTGTTACTCTAATAGGTAATATATATTGACTCTGCCTGTCAGGTGGATTAAGAAGTCCAATTGAAGCTCGTAATTATTATGGGTCCAATGATCAACTTTTCTCATTGTGGGCTGGGCTGTTATGAAATTGGACCTATTTGAGCCATTGTTACACATTTAATTAAAGCAATTAAATGTGCCCAAAACGGGGCCAGTTTTTTAATTTGAGCTATACATACAGCCTTGCCAGGCTTGGCAAGTAAAGTCCAACTTAAAATTGGTCCATTTGATGCCCAAAACGGGGCCCATTTTTTTATTTTTATTCTGGCTTTAGTCTCGGTAAAAGAGTCAATTTGAGGCCCAATTGTGGCCCACAATAGTCTACATTGATCTCAGGTCTAATAATTGTATTTTTGCTCAGCCTGCTGGCCGGGCCAACAAACTCGAATTGAATTGAATTCCAAATTTGGACATTATTGGAACCCAATTGGTCCACTCGTACATATATTAATTTTTGCTGGCCTTGCAAAGTCCAATTACAGCTTGTACTGCCCCGATCGAAAATAGTCTTTCTATAAACATGAAAATGAAACGGGACAAAAGTAAAGGCATCTTATGAATCAGATGCGCCAACATTGTTCTCGTGCCTCGTACAGACTTTGGTTTCTTGTATTTAAGCTGTTCCACCGGAAAACTTATTTAGGTCCACTCTAATCCTATGCTCCTCCATGAGGCTTCGATCAACTTACCTTCTGATTCACCACCTAATCTTATAAAATACTCTGCTGGATTTGTTTTGTTAACTGAGTGAGCGAAAGGACCTCCCGACTTTTTATTTTTATATCATAAAACATAAGTGTAACTGTATACATTTTAAGGAAGAAAGTTCCCTGCCACCATTGGATGCAGAAAGTGAATTAAAAAGAAAATTCCATAACCATCTGTCAGCCTGGAAAACAACATAAAAACTCATGTCCCCACCTTTCACAAAAGGATCTGGGACCACAATTCTCACCTAGAGCACATCTAATATAAATCAACAAATATATAATAAAAAACAAACACAAATAAATAATAATAATAATAAAATTAATAAGTAAAGGAAATTGTAACTATGGGGTATATATATCACAAGCATTCTAGCTATACGTTTATATCACATTATCCAGCCAAAAGACTACTTTGGTTGGCGTCGCTTACCCTACAAAACTTATAGCAGGCAAGAGCCTTTCATAATCCCTCTCCTGTGTGCCAACCTGCAATGCATAAAAGTTTTCATAATGAATAACATGGATGCATATTATATTCTCAAATTCAGAAGCCTGCAAGCAACCCTCCATCCCAAACAACTGGAATATCGTAATCTGCTACCATTCCAGTGCACCAACAATTTAACAGTGTGTCACAACTTGGAATCTTTAGTCAGAAGGGAAACCCTAGCTATGTAATTCAAAGTCTGTTATGTCCCTCTTGAAAAATATTTGACGAAAGCTATATAATTCAAAGCTTGATAATTAGTTTTTGCGTATTGGATTATTTGGTGCAGTTTCTTTAAACTGTAGCTTTGAAACCTATGTGCCAGAACATAACAGGTTATATAGGCAGAGGGGAGAGAGAGACACAGTAAAAAGGCACTTAATTCATGCATCTAAGGTTCCTAAATTTAGTCAGACTTTCAACTCATAATTCACAAATAAATAACCACCTCTAAAAATCACACTGAATGAGAGATTAATTGGTATACCAGATTGGTGATTCCCTGGATTCTCAACTCCCTTGTTGCTACTTGGCTTGCTGCTACTTGGCACCCCCATTGCTTGACTCTGCACAAAGAACTGAAGGATTTCATCACTATATAATGTCAGTATTTACAAAATACTTATTGATCAAAAGGGGCAAGCTTATTGAGCTTGAGCATTGGCTTAAGCTAACAAGAACTTGCAACTGCATCTTAGGTTACTCCTATAAACAAATTGCATAAAATAGGAAAGAAATATGCAATTTTGTTGATGTTTAGTGGTCTATACGATTCTTCAGACTGCATAACAGCTTAAATTGGTAGAGGGGGAAATTTTCCATTGAAACAATGGAAGTGGTAATGGTACTTTTATTGTAAATGCCAGACTAAAGGCATTAACACATCCAAGCTCCAACTCAAAGGCATACAAGTCATACCTGATGCGGTCGTATTTGCATCTGGTAAAGACCAGGATACTGCTGATATTGCTCGACAAGACTTGGCATTCGTGACTGGTTGGGCTGAGTACCAAGTGAGTGTAGCAAGGGATCTGACTGACTAGTTGCTTGCATTCTAGATGGATCCGGTAGAGCAGCAGGCATATGAAATGCTGGCATAGGGTATCTCGGACCCAAATGCGCTGCTGCAGCTGATGTTGGCAAGGCTGAACCAGCCAGAACAGGGGGAAACGGAATCATTGGTCGATTCATGCCCATATCCATTCCCATTCCCATCCCCATACCTATTGGCGGCATGTACTGCTGAATGCCGGGAAACATCATAGGGACCATGCTGCATCCCATGGTCATCATCTGCAGAAATTCCAGAGAGTCAAAACAAGGGTCAAATGCTAATATACAGAGTAAGTGAAAGGTAAGTCGATAACTCATGAACAAGATGGCATGCAACAGCTTCACATAATTGTAAAGTATGCAGATTCAGTTGAACAGGAGTCATTGCTAGGTCTAATGATAAAGCTTGTGCAGTGTGAAAAAACGTGCTAAAGTCTCAGAGCAACTACAATGCAAAATAATACCAAAGGTGATGCCTGTCTCTAATCCATGCCTCCCAAGTCCCAACATCCCACATGGGTGAGACTCACAATGGATAATAACAAACTCAATTAAGTTATATATTGGTTCATGCTAACATACACATATGGTCCAAGCTATAAGCTGAAAGAAGTAAAAATCCAATATAATGTCTGCCCGACAAGGAGTGGCTGTTCTTATATATAGTCAAGAAAACCAAAAACGTCATGAGTGAGAAGGTGTCATTGAAACAATAATATCATTTACACAAGGAAACCAGCCATTTCCTCCTTTTCTTTTTTCAAAATTCCCAGCAAATGTCACATGAATCCATTACATCACTCACTTGGTGCATTCAAGGAACTTGCCATTGTCACATGATGCTATATGTAAAACTGGCTTTTACCTTGAAACTATAGTATAAGTAAGCTCTGAGAAAACAGAAAGGTGGAGCAGTTCTAGGGTGGTTAAATCCTTAATAGAATATGTTAATCCAATTTATAATAAAATATCAAAGAAAAGATGAAACAAATGAACTTTTCTATATTTCATTTCTCCAGGAGTGGACCTTGGAATTCCCTAAAAAGCACAGGGTGTAAGGATCAATAAACTGTGAGACATGGCAGAAACTTTTAAGCAGACCAGAGTTTCCACACACACTCCGTGACAAACAAATTAATAATTAAAGAATAGAACAAAGAAAAAAAAAAAAAAGGGAATATACCTGCACTTGCATTTGAAGTGATTTCAAGTAATCAATAGCCTCATCAAGCATAGAAGCTTTGTCTGACTAAAATTCACATAAAGAGAGAAGTTTATCAAAATTAGTTGGACCATCTATTTCAGAATACAGACCCTCCACATTTGTAAGAAACATAGGAATGGAATAATACTGCTACCTTGTTGCAACGAGGTATGAGTTCTTGCAAAGCCCTCATTTTTTCATTTATCCTATCTCGACGTCTCTACACAAGATGTAAAGTTAGACCCATTAAGAAACCGCCCTGCCCGCCGCGTGGGGGGGGGGGGCGCTCGCGTGGGGGCGAAGGCATCCAATATATCAACAATTTACAATATTACTTCAGCAGTACAGTCTACTTACCCTCTCTGAGAGATTATGGACCTCCGCAGCACGAGTCCGCTTTGCTGATGTTGATCCACGAACATGTTTCTTTGCATCGGGGGAATCAATCTCAGCATCCTTTGCCAGTAGAAAATATAGAAGGAAAAAAATAGTAGAACTTCAAAATAAATTTTAATTTAACGAAGCAGATAGAAAAAAAAAATACAGGAACTTATCATCTTGAAACTTAAATAGCACCAAAGAAAATTGTTAGCAGATATGATAAACCACGATTTATGGAATGACTTATCGTATTAACAGAGATTTGATTATGCTAATATGTTGCGATTTGATTTAGTTTCCTTTCTTGTAATATGAGCATGTACTTCTTTTACCTATAAATACTAAAGTTGTGAATTAGTGATTTAATTTCATTCAAGCCTTTACACAATTCTCTCATTTTTCTTCTTTTTATATTTCTTCTTGGTATCAAAGCTAGGGTGGTTCGACTGCAATGAGGGCATTGCAAGTTCGGCACCACCCATTCGGGAATGGTCTGGTGACATCGCCCATTCGGGAGGCGTCGGGTAGGCAGGGTGGTCAGATCTCAATGATAGCGTTGCGAGTTTGGCACCACCTATTCAAATATGGTCTAAGGAGACATAGTTGTTTCTTTTAATGGTCTGAGAAGACATTGTTGATTCTTTCATCTACATTGTTTAAAAATATGTATGAAGAGGAATGGTTTGAGGAGACATTTTTGATTCTTCCATCTACATGTTTTAAACATGTGTATGAAAGGAAATGGTCTGAGGAGACATTATTGGTTGTTTACAGGCTGAGGAGACATGATTGGTTGTTTATAGTCTGAGAAGACATTGTTAATTGTTTATGGTTTGAGGAGACAGCTGATTTGTTGATCGGCACTTCATCAGAGAAAAAATCATCGCTAGTCAGATTTGCACTCCATTTGTCACAAGGTCTCAGCAGCTTGCAAATTTTTACAAAGGGCATCAACAAGATTATGTTTGAGAATGCATTGTCCAAGTTGGGCATTTCAGACATCCACGCACCAACTTGAGGGGGAGTGTTAACAGATATGATAGCCACGATTTATGTAATGACTTACCGTATTAGCAGTGATTTGATTATGCTATAGAATATGCTATAGAATATGTTGTGATTTGATTTAGGTTTATTTCTTGTAATACGAGCATGTGCTCTTTTTATCTATAAATACTAGAGTTGTGAATGAGTGATTTAATCTCATTCAAACCTTTACACAATTCTCTCATTTTTCTTCTTTTTATATTTCTTCTAAAACCATAAATGATCTATATACTACTCTACGGGTCCATTAACGGGTAACTTAATATAATACTTTAAGTAGGTGCTTGGGCTACATACAGGGAAATAATTCAGCAGATGTCCATCATATATCAAAAACCTTTCTTAATGTTCATAATATTCCATTTCCCTTTCTATGCTCAAGTCTACAATCACTAAATGACCAAAATACAAGTCACTACTCGCTTATCACCTCAAGTCAGCGCCTCATGCCTACTATAAATAAGAATATTAATTAGCCAATGACTACAGCATGCCTCCTGCACTGGTTAAGAACATTAGACTTCATTATAATCCCACCAATGGTGACTATTGCAATACAACCGGGATTCATTGTTTTTTCATGTTAACCAATGTTGTTTAATGTATTGTAGGACTTTTAAACATGGCACTAGGGTGGCACATTTGACGTCCACATGTAACCAAAGTGGCATCTTATGTGACATTTCCCATCTTGAGACTAGTCTTTCATATCACAACACTAAAAGTCAAGGCAAACGCAGTATAAAAAAAGGGAAAATATTGGTGCTTTCTGCATTTGGCCCATTATGGATTATTCATTATCTCTATTGCTATATAAATCAAACTGTCTAATTGTTTGACTGTGGGATGAATTTATCATTACCTCAACAGGACTACTAATATCTTTGGCTTCAGGTTTATCATTCATGACTGAATAGCTAGTCAACAACTTACCTCCTCCCACGACTTGCTTGAGGTGAAAACTCCTTTCCTGACTCATCTGAGTCAAGAAACAACCTTCAGGCTATACCCACCTCTAGCTTAGTCACCCATATCTACCTTCCATCCACCACTATTCACAGAAAGGACACTAAGTTCAGGCTATACCCACCTCTAGCTTAGTCACCCATATCCTTTCCTGACTCATCTGAGTCAAGAAACAACCTTCAGGCTATACCCACCTCTAGCTTAGTCACCCATATCTACCTTCCATCCACCACTATTCACAGAAAGGACACTAAGTTTACTTCTTTTCACTCCCCTTAAAAAGATTTGACAATTCTGATAGAACTATTGTCCTCCTATCAAGCTTGATTCTGCACTTCTTCGGTCATGGAATTTGTTTCACACTAAAGACAAACTCCGATCTCCTCAGTATGTAGGTTTGGATGCAGACAGGCCTTGCAGCCTTCTATACGGACGCTTGAGATCTTTGATGAGGCCCCACTCTTTTGAACAGACACCTACTACCGCAAGGACCTCTTTACATATAAGCTTCACTACCTCCTCCATAGGCATTTATGAGGACCTCTGTAGACTACAATGAGAACCTTACAGAGACAAGCTTTGCTACCTTGTTTACAAACATCTCCGGAGACCACCATTACGACCTCGTCTTTGTTACAGATTTGCCTACACTAGGTTCTAATCCTCACAATAGGCCAGAGTTCGTATTTTTATTTTTGGCTTTTGATCAGATGTTCAGAAGTCAGTTCAGTTAGTGGTGGTGTCTATATCCAAGGGCAGAATGATAGAATCATAATTTGAAGACATATCAAAGGGGAAAAGGTAAAATCACCTCCTGAATGGCTAAATCATCAATTATGGTTTTTAATTTATGCATTTGTATTGTCATACATGCTAGGGTTTGAAGGTTGCATGTTTTGATCCATAAAAACTCTTTTTAAAATGCATAAGACTGTTTTGGGATGTTTCTATTTTTAAAATCCTCTCGGTTAGGCTAGATAGAATCAACTGGAAAAGAAAGGAAAGAGAAAATTATAAAAAACACCACCTTTTTATTTTGCATTCCTATTTGGATAGAATGAAAACGCGAAAATATAAATTTTCTTTTCACGTGAAAGCAACACCTTTTTATTTTGCATTCCTATTTTATCCAACAACTTCATCCATAATTGTAGACCAACAACAAACTGTATTATACTATTAGTCGTAATCGTGTTTTTACTGGGTTTCAAAGAATTGCAGACCAACAACAACTGTATTATACTATTAGTCATAGAGTTCAATTTAAGTTGACTTCCATTCCTAATGTTGTTTTCCATCATATATGGAAATTAAATAAATAGTAGTTTGCAAGGTCTCAATTAATTGGAAACTCCTTCATTTTTTGTAATATATATATCACTACTAATTAATTCTTTATTATTCTACTATTTATTTTATTATTTACTTTTTAAAAAAATAAGGGCAATTTGGTAAGTCAAAATATTTTAAGTAACTTTTATGCTATCCAAATTATAATATGATATTTTCCTACAATTTTCTTGAATAAATTTTCATGCTAACCAAATGGAAGTTGCTAGTTCCATCTAACCAAATGGAGCCTAAAGGAAGGAAGAGTGAAAATTTTATTGAAGCCTAGTAAATCTCAATCGATCACATCAGAGAGTTTCAATCGAATTGTCAACCAATTCAAGGATAGCAAGTGTCACTCAACCGAGTCTCGATTGATCAACTTGTATGCGAACTTAAATCAGACTTCTAGAAAGCATTAGGTGTCCTATTCTGATTATAACTAAGAAACTTAATTTCTTTGGACTCAAAGCATTATATAAACACCTCGTCTCTCATGACATGTGCACGTAAATAAAAAGATCGCTTAACATATTATTAAAAGAATATATACACATCTAAATATTGGAAGGATTTGGGGAGATCTTGTAAAAGTCTGAGTCAGGAGGGACTAGGTGATTCTAGTGATTGTCTGGTAATTGAGTTGTTAACTCTTTCTTGTATGGTGGATTTTGATCTGCCGGGCATATGTCTCGTGGTTTTTTTTTTCCATTGGAGTTTTTCACGAAAAAATCGTGTGTTTATGTGTAATTGCTTGCTTATTTATTTTTTATCTTTATATTTAAATAATTGATATGTTGCGTTATAAACTATAATTGTGATACTTTAAAAATCAGCTATTGTTAATTAATATAGAACAAGATCTATTCACCTACTTCTAATCTATTTTGGACTTGGAACACGCTGACTTATTAGAGCCTTGGCCCAAGGCCCTTGGGAAACAGACCTATAGTTTTCTCACCAACTAAAACCTAGATGCATTTCGATTACTGCTTGGGTTTGGCAAAAGACACACAGAGAGAGCCTTTGCGGCACACCTAAGAACTACTTGACTTGATAGATGGAAGTAAACGGTTCAAGATAAACTCTCCTGAATGCTTCACATACCTTTAACCTAAACTAACTTAAGAAGAAAGAACCGCACTAATTCAAATAACACATATGCCCATTTTCTTGTGCTAGCATTATATTGGGTTACCGGGAGGATTTTTTAGATGCTGACAGCTTTGATGCTTTTTAGATGCTGACAGCTTTGATGCCGTCCTATCACATTAATTGGCAACCGTATCCCATATTAGCCGCTCCTACAGCTGTAACGTTGTCCCAATTGCATCCAAGTCAAACAATGCCAATGCACGTGGTCAAGTTATGTCGCGACCCTGGCCTCATGTCCGGGTTCTTCACCCTCATTTCTGAACTATAAATAGGTTTCCATCAAACATTTATGAGGATAAAATATCCACCCATCTCTATGGAACATTGAAGAATCCAGGGAATCCTGAACCAAGTCTCTTCGTATACTTCGATCTATACTTACTTAACCCTCTAAAGCTTTTCCCTTGAGGAGTCAGTGGCAAGCGCGAGACGCCAATCTCTCTCACTTATGGGAGTTAAACATGACTTTCACGTAATCTAGTCCAGTTGGGAGTTGGAACCCGTATTACCTCCCATCATCACTCATCAATCAGAAACCATGATAACAGGTGGAAAAAGATAGAAGAAGTATGACTTTGAAAAAAAAAACCTAAGGAAAATATTTTACTTTATTTCTTAGTACAAAAGCACTGGCTTAATTAGTTTTAAATTGTTTGATTACTTCGTAGGAAGTGGAATTCCTTCTCTTCCTCCATTGTTTTGCCCTCTGATTACAATCAAAGGTTTGTTTATTCTTCCTCCGCTGTTCTTCTTTCTTTGTTGTTCAACGGTACATGAATTGTTAGGTATTCTAAAACTGCCAATAACCTTTTCCTTCCTAGCCTCAGCTATTCCATCACCTGACTATAAGTCTAAGAGCAAATCATCCTTAACAACAGGGTGCCAAGGCATGGACAACTGGGAGCATCTTGCCAGTTGAATCCGATGCAAAAAAAACGATGCATGAAAAGGATATTTAAATTTAACAATTGGAAGCATCTTGACTGTAATATCTCATAAGGTGATACTTAAATTTAAAAATCATCACTTATTTCATAACCTTGCTTGTAAACATGGATGCATGAAACCACAATATCTTGTTCAATTGAAATAAGAGTATTTATACCACAAAATACATTGAAATGGTAAAAACTAATTTTTCCCAGAATAAAATTCCTTAATTGCTAGACTTAAATCAAACTTCAAAAAAATAGATAATGAAATAAAAGGGGAAAAAAAATTCATGTAGGAGAAACAACTCCAATATACTTGTCTGCAAAAGCCCTTACTTGATGGACAATGTTGATGGGTTGATGGAACATCCTTCCAAAACCTAGAAACACCAAATCAAATGACTATGCTTCTTAAGCTTTCCGGTACATGAAAAATTACTAACTACTCCATCAAATATTAAGCACTAGTCCTTAAATGGTAATGTTATATGCTCAAATATGTTGATGTCCAGCTCTAAGTTGGTCTATGATACATTTCCCTTTTTTACTTTCAGTAATCTCAAGGACAAGTAGCTAAAAAAGGTTCTAATAATCAAGCATTGCTTTTTTAAAAATTTGATCGTGTTTTATATATCTGCTTCATCTGAATGCTGGACTCAATAGCTGACTTTCACAGTTTCCTTGTATCATCTAAATGGTACTCAAATGTTCTTGCCTAAATCAGTTTTAAGTTTCATGACTTCTCTTGGCTCCCAGGTTGGGCTTCTATGTTCCACTAGTTCTCTTCTTTTTACGGTTCATCAACAAATGTAGCCAAACTCTCCACGCTAGTTTCCCTATCTTCTGCAGGATCCAAACTTTCCAATTTAAGGTTGACATGAATGACTGATAAGTCCGCGATGAGAAGACCCACAGAATTTCAGTAATTTCCTAGGCATAAAATCCTAAAAAATATAAAATAAAAATAAAAACCTGTAGCTCTAGACTTGACCTACCCTGTATACTCTCGATAAATTTATGTCATGTAACTTTTGGATGTACCGAGTATCAACCTAAAACCCCAACGTTTTATTATTCAATTTGCAAGCACTTAAAAATGGAAGCTCTCCTAAGGTGACAGTAGGATACAAAAACAGTCGAGTGAAAGCTCCAATCCCAAATATTGACAAAAGCAAGATTGCCTAAGTGGTTTCCCCTCCTCATTTCGAAGGTTGAGAGTTGTGGTTAGCTAGTATTAGCAAAAAGCATTACAATGTTCAACTAATAACAAAATCAAACCAATCCATACAAGCACCTAATCCTGTTCAAATCAGAGGCAGATGCAACATTCTCATTAAATTTTATTAACAAAGACAACGCAAAAGAGTCATATCAGGGGGCCATTGGCCCATGTGGTATAACCAGAGTCACCCAAGAGGATAGGTGAAGGTTCAAGACTCATGGTGCCATTTGTGGAAGATGTGTGCGTGAGAGAGAGAGAGAGTATTTAGTTACCACATCTCACAAGCTATGATAACATTTTCACTCTTGGGGTATTTCATATGGTTACGAATGTGCAGCATGCACAATTTACGAAGTACATTGCGCGTGGGAGAATCATATAGGGAGGCAGGCAGTTACAGAGCAAGTCTAACGTGCGGGACCCCTTGGTGTTCCCACTAAATTTGCGCCATTAAATTCAACACATGTTGGATTGAATCAAGAGGCTAACACTACAAATGCATAAACTCAATGAGAGTGCTTTTTCTATTCATGTAAGAGCAAAATGACCATCTTAAGAGTGAGGAAACCACCCGTGAATGCGCAGGATAATCGCTTAGGTTTATTTACAACTATAAACAAGTCTATGAAGGCGGCGCTCATAATAAACTCTAATTCATACATGGAATCTGATCATTCTGTGAAGGACCATGATACTCGAGCAGAATTGGCCAGCCGAAATCGCTGGCCAATGCATGTTGCATCACTTGGATGCAATGCTATAGGACCCATTTTTGCACCTATCATCATGCCTCAAATGGTTAAACTTGGGATGTTGCCCGTTGAAACAATACAGGTGTCATAGTCATAACACCAGAAACTACAGAAATGGTCCTATGATGCCACGTGTGCGCAGAGCAATGTGATGTGAGCAGGAATTTGGCCAAGTGTTAATACATGCATCCAATTAGATAGGATGGTGGTGCTCACGCTGAACGACGCAACTGGACCTGCGCACATTAGACGAGGCGAATACATGGGGAAAGAGGAAGAAATTTTTTAATGACGGACTGACCTCACTGTGACACTCAGAGTCGTCGGCTTCTCTACCCTTGCGCTTCCGCTCCTCCGTCGTTGGTGGCGGCTTGTGGACCGGCTCGGCGCTCGCGCTGGAGCCACCGGGTGATGAAGACACTGAGCGCTCGCACACCGCCTTCCCTCTACCAACGCCGTCAGCAGCAGACGATGTACCTGCCCCCTTTGTACCGCCCATGCTCCCGCAGCCTAAATTTTCTCCGGAGACCTGTGCCATACCCGAGGGAGTCACGCTTGAGTCTACCACCGTCGAGTCCATCCCTACCTTGTTCGAACTTGGTGCTGCTGATTCAATCCTCAACTTAGGCCTCGACAAGTGCACGAAATTGTGGTGCCTCGAGTAGGTTTGAGCCTCCGTACGCATAAAAGGATGTATTGGTGGCCGAGTCGCCGCCGCTGCAGGTGGCTTAGGTCTGAGGTCTGCTGTACTGACATCGGAAATCTGGACGGTATGGGAGGAAGGGGCGACGGTGGCGGTCGGCGAAGGGTTGAGGAAATCGGCATACAAGTCACGGTCGAAGGAAGAGTCATCCATGGGATAATGTAACCAAGAGGCCATCTCGTCTTCTTGCATGAACAGATTATTCGCCGATTCTTCTCCTGTTTGGATCTGTCTCGCCGCCGATTGCTCGGCAGGTAGAACGGCGTCTCCGAATTGAGACTTCTTGACAGATCTTTGGTTTTGGCTTTGCATAACCACATGACCATCTTGCCACATTAGCTCCATGATCTCCTCATCAGCCCTGTTGATTATCATAGTTAGAGATAAATATAGAAAACGAAGACACAATAGAAAGAAAAACAGAGCAAGGAAAGAATACAAAACTTACACTCGTGATTTCTTTGGTCGACTCGAACTTGAGGATGTATAAATTGCGTAATCTTCATCCAATTCGAAATCCGGAACACAGTAATTCATTTTCTGCGAACAATAATCAAAAGCAATACGATCATCATAGTGTTGGGAGAAGAAATCAAATTAAAATAATAATTTAAAAAAAAAAAAAAGTGAAAGAGATTACAAGATGAAACTCACTGGAGAAATTTCAAGATGATTAAACCTACAAATTCATTAGTTCAATCATTATCGTAGTTGAAGAAGCAAATCAAAAAAATAATTGAAAGAAGTTAACAGATGAAACTGACCGTAGAAATTTCAGATGATTTAAACTACAAATTGATTGATTCAAGAATCGAACGCCAAAGTAGAGACAGAGTGATTCACAGAAAATAATCGATTTACCTTCACTGACTTTCTCTTAATGCATAATAACAGCACTTTCTCTCTCCTCTGTGAGATATAATCCTCCCTGCGAAACACCTGAGCTGCTCTGTCTCCTCCTCTGTGCTATCTTCTCTCTACAGTTTTCTCTCTCTAAATCATGTGCAGTCTCTGTCTCACTCACTCTCGTCTCTGATCCTTCTGGCGGAGATTATGGGAAATAGTGAAATTTTCAGAAGATTTGTTGGTTTCTTTGTTTTCCTCTGCTTCGCCTTTTGGGTGTAAATGTGTTGTGCAGTTGTAGATAAGATCTTTCTCTCCTCTTTCTCTCTGTCTCCGATCCAAATAATATGAAAGAAAAAGACGAAATGGATTTTGACGGTATGTACGTACCAGAGGCAGTTAGTATCACACACTTAATTTCACTTACATGTGTCTAATACATCAAAGCGGTGCTCGTATGTGTAGTAATTAATTGAGCACCAAATTTTTTTTTTTTTCTTTTTTTTAGCTAACGTATTCGCCTGACAAGTGACAACTCATCTAGTCTAGTCCAAATAATTTCCATTTTGATTCACTTAGATATGCAACAGATTTATTAATCTTGTAACATTGGGTATGTTTGAACCATCGCAAAAGTGTGATACCACAACGATGAAATCTGATAATTGTTTAAAAAGATTATGTGACGTAATTTAAGACAACGTAAAGAAAATTTGTTTAGATTCATATGAATTTATAATTAATTCTTTTTATTAATAATCATGATTTTGAACTTGAGATCGACAACTCCAATCCAAGAATGAGCTTAGTCTGAATTCAAAAACTTTGAGTTGTCCTCAAATTTAACTCAAACATTTGTTTCCCAATTTGAACAGTATATTTTGACTGGCTTGCCTAGGAGTCCTTTTCTGCTATTCTGAGGCAAAAAAAAACCTTCAAAAACCGAGTAAAGTGATGGAGTAGTTAGTACCAAACATATGTTTTGACTTAAATTGGTTGAATCGAAGTAGGGACTAAGGACGGCAAGTGAATGTCCGTCTCCACTATTCATGCTTTTTAAGGAAAAATCCAATATTGGACATACTTAAACATTTGAAAAAAGTAATAGTATAAACTTGTACTTTGTAATCACATTCACAAAATTTGTGAAATTCATATTATAGTTCAAAACTACTTAGGAAATATAAAATTGAAAAAATTTAAATCTCTAATAAAAAAAAATAGTTATTTATATGTTTGGGACGTTATTTAATGTGAGATAAGTTTTTACTAATTAGTTTTTTAAATTTGTTTGTTACTCGATAAAAATGGCTCAAAAACGATAATTAAACAAATCTTCAGTTTTGTAACACGAAATTAAGGACCAAATATACTCTAATTTCTTTTATAACGGACCAAACACTAACCATTCAATTTAGGAATAATTTAATCTATTAAGTAGTGTTACATATCAACTTTTATTAATTCAAAACCTTTTCCATTTAGGTACTACTTGAAACAAAAACTTAACACCATTTTGGCCTAAGTCCTTGATGAGAAAGATTTGATCAAAGGCAAAGTAAAAAAGATAAATTAAACGAAAATATTTACTTGGTGTCAATTCGTGAAACCATGGTACGATGTATGACCATGCACCTTTCACCCGAGACCTGTATTTTGAAAAATGGTTACGAGTAGCAATATTCTGTCATGAGTGTCTGACAAATACCGTATTGCGGTGTATAATAAATACAGTATATAATTGACAAAGACTTTTCTATAAAAGATGGCGACAAAGGCATAGTTAGCGAGCGAGATTGTGGCTCGTTTAAAGTAATGATTGTAAATTATCCTTAATATTAAATGATTTGTTTGTAAGTGGGTGGGACTTCTTTGATCAGGGAAAATGACAATTAACGGTAAACTGTCTTACATTGTAAAGTTAAATAATAGTTAAATCTCATTATATCGTCCGACAAAATCAACCTTATCCGTCTTTAGCAAAGAGAAATTATCTTTTGACATTCCCTATAGCATTATAAATGTATGGATAAATTACACTGTCATTCCCTATCAAATGTCTAAATAACATTGACCCCTTGTAGTTCTGGTTGGTGTAACACTGACATCCCTGTCAAAAAATCCAAGGTGTTGTCTATTGTCATGCCTGATTTTTTTTTTTTAAATTACGTTTAAAAAGATATTTACTTCCATATGTTGTAATAATAAAAGCAAAATGAATATAATTATCATATCACACCTTTAATAAACCGACATCACTAGCAACGAGGTCGGTGCACGATGACGAGTCATGTAAAAGTTAAACTAAATTGTACTACAAATTTCTATATTAATCTTTTTAAATTGAAGTAGATTCATATAAATTTGAATTCACATTTTGGTGTCATGAACTCGTGTGGTTTATGTCATAATCCAAATACAAGCCAATCCTAATGAACACAATTCATATTTAACCCATATAACTAATCCAAACAAACCTTAATATATTACCATGTGCATGGTTTAGATTGCATCTCCATTTAAAACTAATTCATTACAATTTTATGTTATGGATATTTTAATTCCCTATAATTTAGTCAACGGTAGGCTAATGTTAAAAGTTAAATATCTCATTTTATCACACACAATGAAAGCATTATCACATCAATCACACAAGCATATACAAAGATAATAATCATACATATTCACACACAACACAATATTTTATATAATTCACCCAACTTTAGAGTTACATCTATTAAGAGATATTTCACTGTTAAGTATCAAGGAAGAGAATATACAACCCATGTGTTAAAAACCCACTCACTTTCACTCATCATACTCTTGAGACTACATCTTTACACTTGTATATTACATAAACACTCTCATCTCCCCACAACATTCACCCTTACATTTTTCATCTCTTTGATCTCTACCTCTACCTCTACCTCTACCTCTACCTCTACTTCTCACACTCATCTCTATTTTAGGAGTCTTCAAATCAAATTCCTTGTTGATCAAGAATTCCATAACTTACCAACAAGAAGTTACCATAATGATCACAATTATAAAAGAGTAGCTTGACGAAATCACCGTTCTAGAGCAAAGTCCATATTCTGCATATGAATTCAAGCCACAAACCAAACAATCTCCACCTTAGTTTGAATTCGATCTTCACACGCTATCCCGTAACTCCACCTCGACTGAAGTTCTCCCACCTCAAACCAAACACTATGATGAAATCGAGAAACACTTGATTGATCAACGATCTCCCACCTCTATTTATTAGTAGGGTTTCGAATCAATCAAGCCAAGCAAAACTTTAGTCTGTTCGGGCTCGACTCGTCATGATTTTGAGAAGGTTGGGCTCAATTTTTGTAATAAAATTAAGAAGTTGTTCAAGTTAGATTTTAGCTCGTAAACATGATCTCACTTTCACGAGCCGAGCTCAATATTATTCAAGATTAGTTTGTTTACTAAATAAGTTTAGAAATTGAAATCAAACTCCACTCATTTGCACTAAGAATGAATTCGACCCGAACCCAAATTGTTAATGAACGACTCCGTAGTAAATAAGACTTAAGTTGGGTTCCAAGAGAGGTAACAAGTTATTAGGGGGTAAGTGGGTAACAAAGTGAGTATTTCATGATATGTTAACGGCAAAATTTTACATTTCCTTGTAAATAGGATTAACGAGATCACATGAAGTGCAGCACCTTGAACAATTTATATTTTATTCCCAAGAAAAAAATAGAGCAATCATATATTATTAGCAATGAGAAGAACAGGAGTCATTTAGTATGCTTCGTGTCGCGTGCGAACGTGGCAAGTGGTGAGTCGTGCCATGTTGGCCCCTTAGCCGACAATCTGGGTTCCATGCGGGGTTGGGTCCCACTTATCTTCCTCCTCACCCACTACCTTGATTTTAATGAGTGGGTGGGGCAAAACCCCGCCATTGGAATGCAACATCTTATTCGGCAGCAGACTATGTACTACATGTAATGTACTGTATCTATCAATGTATGTATTCAATAACAAAAATTATATATATTCTAATACATAGTAGAGAGTAGAGATATCACTGTTTTCTTATACAATAATATATATATTATACACATAAATTGAGTGGCTGTCATCATCTCATCAATGATTTATATATGTATGTATGTATGCATACCATACGTATATAATTATGTACTCCAGTGTCCACTACATATTTGTAGTCTTATTACTAATTTAATATTTTAAATAGATCAAACTTTATTAAATTAGATAAGTGAAATTTACCATATTAAATTTTACACAAACATTTCCTTCTTGGTTTGACATTTTTTTCACACCCATATTGGTTTAAGTTCACCCAGCATGACTGGCATAGTTTCAGTCCGAGCAATACCTGCACCTCTATTATATACATATTTATATATGCATAGAAATACAGTGTGTTATATGTGTATTATTCTATATATGGCATATTTAGTAAAATAGATTCTCCTGGATAATATATATTAAGATTAGATAGATAAAATACAAAAATACTTAATCAATAAGCCGTGTGAATGCTAAAAGAAGCAAGTCACATGTACAAGCAATCATCCAAATGTGATAACAATGGGATTTGGTACTAAAAGAATGGTAGATAATAGGTTTGGTTGTTGAACTGAATATATTATATGATAATTAGGATTAGGGAAACAGAGAGAGCATAGGTTATTGATTAAATTAAAAAACTATATATAAACGTTTTAGTATCTTAAAACTTTAATAGCTCCTTATCACTATAAAGAAAACCTGAAAGAGACTGGAGAGGATTGCATCAGGTCTTTGCTAAATAAAAAAATGGAGAGATAAAAAATTAATGGAAGAATATACTGATTAATAACAAGATCAAGAAAGTTATTCGCTTGTTTCATTTCTAGTTACAACGCAAGAGTAAATTGTTTTGTTTTCATGCGGTCAAAAAGTAAATATCACCTGAAGTAGATGGCGAATCATGATTGAGTTGGTCAAATAATGTAAAAACAAAGTTTTATTTATTTATTTATTATTATTTAATCTAGAGTCATATATGTAAAAACTACCGTTCCACTTCACAGCTGCCGTCATAACTTGTCTTACCGCCCAACAATCGCAGCTCTACTTAAGGAGGCTCACCAGATGTTTGGGATTTGGAATCCAGTACAGTACAACAAGCCGTCTAATGTAATACAACACAAATAGAGGCTCTCCAGAAGCTTGGAGTCCCGTACAATATAACGAGTCATTCAATGCAGTAAATACCTGTGTTGTGCAGCGGAGGATTCACTGAAATTGGTACTTAAGTGAACATAACCATCTAATCCCATGATCGGAAATGTCCTAACTTGCCATGCCAATGCGGTTTCAACCCGAGGGTTATGGTCCCTCTAACCCTTAAACAAAA